GTCCTTTAACATTGATGCAATTTCGATTTCCAAGTTATTTATACTTTTTGCACATTTGATTTACTGTCATTTATATTTCCTGTTATTTACATTTCTGCTGTTTCGATTCCTTGTCTTTTATATTTAAAGCAAATTTAAGATCTCCGCATGTTACGCTTCTTTGTAATCTAATATTCAGCACTGCTTTTCGATTCCATAGAATTCCTGTTTTCTTTACTTCGAGCACTTTAGATATAAAACACCAAAAATAGTATCTTTGAAATTGGGTAAAATCCGATCCTCATACGCATCTCGATTGAAAACCAAGTTGCTAGCCTAGTAAAAAGAACTTACGTGGTAGAATTTTGATTAGGGTCAAAATATCTTAAGAGTCAAAATCGATCGAAATTTCACCAGAAACAGTAACATATGAAGTGACCTAACATGTATTTAAACGATATCAAATGACAAGAGAAAGACGAGGTGAGACTTCCAATATATCTAAAACCTACCCATAAAACTAAAATATTAATAGCATAAATATTTACTAAAAAAAAATCCATGTGAAGAACCATGAGATCCCTCACGTGAACCCCTCGAGGAGGCCCTTTCCCATCTTTGCGTCGTCATTAGTGATATTGATGATCATCTTTGGGTCTTCTCACGATCCTCCTCCTCCAATGAATCCTCTATCGGGTGTTTGTCCATAAATCCTCCTCCGAGTCTTACTCCTTCCAGAGATCATGCACCAACTCTAATATAGGCAAATCAAAATGTTACTGAATCAACGTATGATTGATTAAGATTTTATTAGATTCAACTTTATCAATATTAAAACATTAATAGTTAATAATAGTAGACTTAACCATTTGTTATTAGATTAATATTTACAATATTATAATATACAAGTGAATACATATTATATTATTGAACTAATTTTGTAAAATTAAATTTAGTAATTTAGTCTCCATGACTTAGCAAGAGGTATAGCTCTTGGTTCCCGATCACGACGGGGTCTCTTGGATGAAGAAGAAGATGGCCACGTACGTATCCCACAAGTCCATGATCTTGACTAGAGTAGTGTGCCAGAACTTTTAGAACTATTAAATGGTTTCACAAACATACATGTCATCACCTCTTCAAGGGAGTATCGTTAAATTCATACACTACCATTATAACTAACTTATGGTAGAAACTTGATGGAACACACTGTCACTAAGCGATTTTGGAAACTGACACAGTTGTGACTCTTTTAAAGTTATATAATTTATGATTTTGATTTTTAAAACTTAATCATAATTTAATATATTTATTTATATATTTATAATTTATCCTTTTATTCTTTTATTATTTTATATTTATTTATTAATAATATATTATTTGACTTTAAAAAATTAATGATTAAGATTTATTAATGTATATAATAATGATGATGAGAATGAAAAACTCCTTACTAACCTATTCATCAAGGGGTGTCAAACTCTGATATTGATTAAGCTAATTATATAAAACATAATCTCAATCAACTCTTTGTAATATAATACCCACAACCTAATTTGGTTAAGGTAGTGTGCTAAAATTATATATTGCTTTAAGTTCTAAATTTTACATATTTTTCATTTTTAATTGACACAAATAATTACTTAATAAAATGAGTTTCATTCGTATTTATTTAATTATATATATATATATATATATATATATATATATATAGAGAGAGAGAGAGAGAGAGAGAGAGAGAGAGAGGGTGTTAAACTAAATATTGAACATTTTTTTGTCTTTGATTATATTTTTAATTCAATTTAAATTAAAAACTATCTCTTTTCTTTTTTTCAAATTTCAACTCTATCAAACCATTTTTTTTTCTTTTATCTTCAATTTCACACTTGAGTTTTTAACCTTTTATCTCCTTCAATCCATTATTTTTATGTTTAATTTAAATTTTAATATATTTGTAAAAGAAACTCTCAAGAATTAAAAATAACATTACATCACAATATATTTTTAAAATATCTGTTCATTAAAATCTATAATGAAAAGTTGCAGATTAAAACTCCTTGTATTGATATGAATTATATTATATAAAATTGAAAATAACATTTATCATCTAAAAACTAAATACTAGTTATAGTTCAATAGAATATTATTGATTAAGATGTAGATATTTAAATTAAGAATTGTATACTTTTATGTACAGCCTCCCATGTTATCAAAAATAAAAATACAAAAAAAAAACTATAATATTTATTATTATTATTATTTATGAAGCTTACTATATGTTGGTTTCGTAATTTCTAATAGAAAACGTACCAAAATAAAACTTAAAATAATTCAAATTCATTGCGAAAAGATATTCAGCATGGTGGAATTTAAAATATCCACATGTTAAGACTGAGTACTGCAGAGTCAAAGATAACCAGAGAAAGAGTGGGTATTTCATTTCCAACTAAAACAGCCAGAAGATTGAGTTATAGCATGACAATATAGAACTTTTCTTTTTTTATCATTACACAATCTTGAATGTTGATTGATATAAATAGTATTAATTCCCCTTTTGAAATGATTAGTTTTGGTCCATGACTTAACAGTCACATTCAAGAACATGGTTTTGACCAGTTGCAAACCAAAACCATTCCACCTTCGTATTTACTTTAATTTTAATGCATTGAAGACTATGTCTTCATCACACCAACCACCTCTAGAGGAAAAGTAAAAACAAACATTTCATTAAAGTTAATATTGTTGTTACAGTGACTTACGAGGAATTTGATTTTTTTAATGATGTATAGTGTTTTTAGGTACTTACACTTTTGTTTCATTAGTCCATTTCAAAAGTAAAATAGATTTTGTTTGAGAGAAGAAGTATAAAAGAGATATTTATCTATATTATTATGAGATAAAATATAAGCAAACTTTTTGCCTGAGAATTAATGTCATGTTTATTAATTTAAAAGATTTTTAAGGTATTTTGAGAATTTAAGTTTAAGATACTTTTGTTCATTTTTAAGAATGTTCTTATTCTTTTGGTGTTTATATGCTGCAATCTACACATGAATTATTATGCCAATGATTTTTACAAATTATATATATGTTATGAAATAAGCATAAATCCTGTAAGATTTCTTATTTTGACTTTATTAATTTAAATAAGAATATAATATTTTGAATGTTAAAACTGTGAAATACAAATAGATGATATTTATCTTACTTGCTATAAGTATTTTTTTTATATAAATTAAAAAATAAATAAAATTTATTTGCATATTTCGTGGAGAAAGGAGTGTTATCATGTGTCATCTTCCTGCATAATAAATTTTTTTATAATAACATAATTGATTTATATGAATAATTGATTAATAAATTTAGTTTGGAAATAATTAAACCTTATATGTATATATGATTAAAAAAAGTAGAATTTGGTTATTAAAATTACAGCAATAATTCCATAAAATAATTAAATTTCATTTACATTCCAATATTTAAAATAATTTGATTAATTAATTATATTTATTCCTTATTTCAATCTCTTGATAACTTATTGTAATTATAAGAATCAATATATAAAATGTTATAAACTAATTATCATATTGCATAATAACAATTTTGATTATTGGTAATGAACTATCATAATGTTTTAAGCAATTTTTAGTTAATTAGTAATAGATCTTATAATCTTCTTTTTCCGACAATATTTCTTTTTTTTAAGTTTTCAAAAAAAAATTGATAAAGACCTCATTTTTATATATTTTGTAAGAAAATATATATTAATTGTATTAATCCAGCAATAAATGTTGTATGAGATAAAATAATAATGATAATAATAATAATAATAATAATAATAATAATAATAATAATAATAATAATACACAGTTGGCCCCCGAAATACTGAATTATTTCACGAAGTTGTGAGTCTTTGACTTTGAATTTGGAGTCACGTGTGACGAAACGTATTTCACTTGGGAGTGTGGTTTTCTTTTTTATTTCTTTTCAATAACTCATTCAAACTAAATATAGAATATATTATTTGACTAAATTGAATAATATATTCAATTTAGTCAAGTTTGAATGTGATAAATATTATATAGTAATAATAATAATAAATATACAAAATTTTCAAGCATTCCAAATTTCATCTTATATTTGAAAACTCTGTATAATTTAGATCAATTTTATACGTATTTTAATTTTTTTATTTATTTTGTATCCAAATTTTGAAAAAATTTGTATCATAGATTTTATCTTTAAAAAATATATTATAAATTAAAAGTGAAAAGAAGATATGTAAATTATTTTTTATCTCATCTTTTAAATTGGAAAACTCGTGAGTGTATCGGAACTGTATATTCTGTATATACAGCTTGGAGCTGAAAATATTGTAATGCTTCGTCTTCTTCAAAAACAAAGATAATTAACTATTCAGAAAGCGGCCACTTCATTTCCAACTAAAATAGAGAAAATATTGAGTTATAGCATGACAATTTAGAATTTCTATTTTATATTAATTTCCCTTTGAAATTATTCATATTCATGCATAATCAAATACACGAAGATGGTTTTTGACCAGTTGCATACCAAGAGTTTAATTTCAGCTTCATTTTCAACGTAAATATAGAAAAAAACTTATCGATTCTTTCTTTTTAAAATAAAAGAACTCTACAAAAGCATTCAAGATTTTGCCTTCGTCACACCAACTACTTCAGGGCAAACTCCCCAGGTCTTCATCAGCAGCCATTTGTAAAGAAAAGGAAAAAAAAAAAAATTATAATTTATTAAACAAAAAAAAGTTTTGGTATTAAACAAAAATAAAACAAGAACAACTATATTAATTATATTATGATAAGAGGGGTGGCTGCTAATACTAGGATCAACAGAGGAATGTTTAGTAAATATTGTACCAAAACATAATAACACTTTTTCATGGCTGGTTGCTATAAAAACCTTGCTTCTCATGTCACATTCCCATCCACTCTAATCTAAACATTCCCCACTCATATCCTTCCGATAATCAATCAACCATGGGAATGTCTCCATTGTCGGTGTTGTTGTCTTACATTGTGGTTTCCGTGGTATTGCTAGTGTTCAGTCTCAAGTACCTTCTCCAAACCAGAAAACTCAGGAACCTGCCACCGGGACCCACTCCTCTGCCCATAATAGGGAACCTTAACCTCCTCGAACAACCCATCCACCGCTTCTTCCAACGAACCTCCAAGCAGTACGGCAAAATCATTTCCCTGTGGTTCGGCTCCCGTCTCGCCGTCGTCATCTCCTCACACTCTGCATTCCAAGAATGCTTCACCAAACACGACCTTGCCTTGGCCAACCGCCTCCCTTCTCTCTCCGGCAAATACATCTTCTACAACAACACCACCGTCGGCTCTTCTTCCCATGGTGACCACTGGCGCAACCTCCGCCGCATTACCGCCCTCGACGTTCTCTCCACCCAGCGTGTCCACTCCTTCTCCGGCATCCGAAGCGACGAAACCAGGCGCTTGATTCACAGGCTGGCCAGAAACTCCCGCGAGGGTTTTTCTCGCGTGGAGATAACCTCCATGTTCAACGACTTGACCTACAACAACGTGATGAGGATGATATCCGGGAAGAGGTTTTACGGGGAAGAGAGTGAGATGAAGAACGTGGAGGAGGCGAGAGAGTTCAGAGAGACGGTGGCGGAGATGCTGCAACTCATGGGCTTGGCTAACAAAGGTGATTACTTGCCCTTCCTAAGGTGGTTCGATTTTCAAAATGTGGAGAAGCGGTTGAAGAGTATCAGTAAGAGGTACGATACCATCTTGAATAAGATCATTGATGAGAACCGTAGCAAGAAGGATGACCGTGAGAATTCCATGATCGACCATCTCCTGAAACTCCAAGAGTCCCAGCCTGAGTATTACACTGACCAAATCATCAAAGGCCTTGCTTTGGTAATTCATTCATCATTTTACTATCATCATCATCATCATCATCATCCTAAACATAACATTGTTGTTTGGAATTTCTCGTGTTAATTTGATGTGTGTTGGTTCCACAACCACAGGCTATGCTTTTTGGAGGAACAGACTCATCAACGGGAACTCTAGAGTGGTCGTTGTCGAATTTATTGAATCACCCAGAGGTGTTGGAGAAGGCAAGAGAGGAATTGAAGAGGGAAGTAGGGGAGGAGAGGTTGTTGAACGAGTCAGACCTTCCAAAGCTTCCGTATCTGAGGAAGATCATCCTTGAGACACTTAGGTTGTATCCCCCAGCTCCAGTGTTAATACCACATGTGTCTTCAGAAGATATCAGTGTTGGAGGATTCAATGTCCCTCGGGACACAGCAGTGATCATCAATGGTTGGGCCATGCAGAGAGATCCTGAGTTGTGGGATGAGGCCACGTGCTTTAAACCTGAGAGGTTTGATGTGGAAGGAGAGGAGAAAAAATTAGTGGCATTTGGGATGGGAAGAAGGGCTTGCCCAGGAGAACCCATGGCCATGCAAAGCGTGAGCTATACTTTGGGATTGTTGATTCAATGTTTCGACTGGAAACGAGTGAGTGAGGAAAAGCTTGATATGAGGGAGAATAATTGGATCACCTTGTCCAGGTTGATTCCATTGGAGGCCATGTGCAAGACTCGTCCACTCTACAATAAAATTTCAACCCATTGATACTATCTTTTCATTGTCAGAATCTAAATACTAATGATTTGAGAGTGAAAGCGGTGGTCCTAAACATGCTAAACAAATCATGCATGGCCACCTTGAATGTATTTGATAGATAAGAGTGTTTGTATTTTATTACTTGTATTTGTCGTCCCTGTAGAAGGCTAATTGCAGAACTGGGTGTTATCAGCATAATTGAGTATATAACCCCAGTTTTCTCAAATAAATTCTGTATTTATTTATTTATTTCTATTCACAATTCCCTTTGATTTCTCATTGTTGTAACTTGATTGAATAAAACAAAACCCTTCAGTATATTAGCAAGAGTGTCCACAGATATAGTTCTAGTACACGAAAAGATGGGTAAGAATTGTTCATCATGTCATAGTAGACAGATGTGTTTGTTGTATGTCTACAAGGACAAATGTAGAACCGTGAGTGCATTTTCAATATATCAATAAATTATAAATGATTCACATTGCTTATAGGCCAAAAAAAGTTATTGTGACTATATATCGAGGGAAAGGATGGGTAAGAACAAACTGTGTGATGCTCTACAATAGTTATCTAAATTTGAATGAATAAATTCATGCTTCGCCCATTAACATATAAGAGCTTCATAGGTGTCTTCGAGAGAGAAAAACATAAAGAAGATAAACAGCTCTTTCAGTTGCCTTTAAAGATGAAGAAGCTCTCCATTTCGTGAGTTTTTGTTGTCTCTGTTTTTATGCTTCAATGAAAAGCAAGCCTTAGTATTATTTTGAATATTTTATTTTTACCTTTTTTTCAAAATTTGAAAAGCTAATTTTTTAATTATTAAAATTACAATTTTTTTTTTCAGTTTTCATTGTATATAACATCTCAAATCTTAGTTAGTTTTATCTTTTACAGAACAATGTTGTTGAGTGATACTAATTTTATCTTTTATAATTGATACAAGACTTTTTCTTTATAATTTTTTCATAAGCAATTTGAAGAAATATGTTAAAATAGGGAATTATTGAGGACGATTGGTAGATGAAAATTAATCAAAGAACTTAATTGTAATAATTAAATCAATTATGAGATAAAAATAATTCACATTAATTACATTGGAAGGATTGAAAAACATAAAGAAAACCCCGTTTCAGTTTTAACTTTAAATTTGTATTTTGTCACTAAAAGATTTTCTGACGGTCATAAGAAAATCTCAACCATAGGCATGGTTTGTAATATGAGCTCCATATTTCTTAACAGTTATATCTTTCCTTTTGATATTATGACTCTTAAATTGAACGGCTAGTTCTGGTTTTAGATTTTGACCATGTTTTACTGCTATCTTACAATGTCGCAACAAAGATTGGTTCCTACATCATTCACATAAGTTAATACTGAATAACTTTTATTTTTATCAGTCAGAAATATACTGACCGAGTTTAATGATTCATTGACATTTTCTTGTATGAAGCAATTATTAAAATGGTGCACATTGCACAAATGATTAGTCAGAAGATTATAGAGCTCAAGAATTGGTTCATAAATTATATAAATTCCACCATCCAAATATTATTTATAGCCGAAGTCATTTACACAAAATGATCGTGCTCACTATTCATATATGTTTTGACTTTGGTTTTGACATAGTGTAATATCTCTTATGTGCTCAGTTTCCCTTCCATCCAGCTTTTCAACATCTGAAGTGCAGCTTTTGGTTGATCCATAGGAACCATATGGCCAGCTTCATATACCTGATATAGTATCACATAACAAAGAGTTACCAAATGTGAAGTTAACAATGTCACACTAAAGAACAAAACCCTGAACACAAACCTTGAGAAAAGAGAGAGGTCCATAGCTGTTCAAAGACCCTGCATCTACTCCATCAACAACAAATTTCATTGTTTGAGATGTTTCAAACGCGTTTTTGCCTGACCATTCCATGGCGTAAACCCACCTTGAATTTCCTGCCAAATGAGAACCACATCAAGAACTCAACCTAACACATACATAACTTTTCAGCACTGACAAAATGAGAGAAGTCAGCAACACTCTTATGAATTCAGCCTCTACTGCTGATTATAATTTATGGAAAATCACAAAAAGTTTGTGAGATCCATTTTGTATTTGACAAGTCTCATCATGATTCAGTGTGTAATTTATAATTAGAAAAGGAATATCAATTGCACTCTTCAAACAAGTTTGTTCCAAATGGATGAATTAGGCTCACCAAGCCAGTTGCATATGAGATCTTCTTCCCCTGCATACACAAGCAACTTGATTCCATCCTCAAGTAGAGCAGGAATCCCCACTTCCAGATTTTTCATCCAATCTTGAACCATAGCTTCGTACACTGTTGTACTGCATGAAACAAACTTCAAGTCATCGCTCACACCTAAAGCACTCTTCACGTTCTGCAGGTTTAACAACGTCTCCATGTTGCTGAAATCATAGCACAATGACCCCACACACTTCTTTCTGATGTCATAGTACTGCAATTTGCATATCAGAATATGAAGTAAACAAACTGAACTGAGAAGGAAAAAAGGGGACTTTTATTTCATGATTACTCACATTAATGTCCCCAGCAATGGACAATATACTGTTGAATATGTTTTCACAAATATTCAATGCATACTCACAGCTTTGTCCACCTTGAGTCTCTGAAATATCAAACACAAAAAACATCAGAAAGTGAAACAATTATTGTAAGTTAATAACAGGGGTATGAATGAAAGAAAAAGGGAGAACTCAAGAGGTTGTATACCACAAGTTTTAGCAGCTTGTTCACATTTTGGGATAGACTTGCTTATATCATCATATTCAGCTTTTGTGATTATTCCATTATCTAATGCAAACTGTGGGTATGCTGGGAACTGAATGACAGGATTTGTTAACCCATTACCAATTGCAAAACCCTGTCGTTAAATCAAATGAATCAACACAAACAAACAAAAACAAGACAGTTAATTAACTTTTCAAGCTCGACCATCATGTAAAATATAATATGAATAGTGTTAGACCTTAAGGTTTATATGAATTCCTTGATTTTCTTTGTTTCCTTGATTAACCCTGGATGCAAGAGCAGGAATATAGTGTCCAGCATATGATTCTCCAGTGATATAAAAATCATTCTTAATGAACTCAGGATGTGCCTTGAAAAACTCCTGTCATTATAATAAAATTGACTTAGCAGATCTTATTCATATCTTGTATTCAGAATTGACAATCTAAATACAGTTTCTATGTATGTTTCGAATGTTACTATGACATGTATTCATATTTGATAAAAAAAATAAAAATTATAACAAGTACCTATAAAATTGCAGCTAAGTTGATAAATGAGGTAAAAAAAGAACTTTTTATTAAATCTTTTACCTGCAAGAAGTCATATAAATCATTGCTAATACCAGCTTCATCATGGCGAATGTCAGTGTCATCAAAAGAGTAACTAAAACCTGTTCCCGTAGGTTGGTCAACAAATAAAATATTTGATCCCTGCAGAATAAGAAAAACTATAGTTGATGCCAGTAACAAAAAAAATGTTGTTAAACAACTAGGTTCTCTAGTTTAACCAATTTTATGACTATGTGCTTCTGGTTGAACTACCCCTAACACACTTTCAGAAAAAGAAAGAAACTTAGAAATGGATCCTTACCTGATCCCAACCATAATCATTCCATGCAAGAGACAAATTATTGAAAATATGAAAAGGGCCATTCTCGTAGAACAGAGCAATTTCACTGCCACACCCTGGTCCTCCAGTTAGCCATATGACAACTGGATCATCCTTCTTGTTCCTTGATTCAAAGAAAAAGTAGAACATCCTGCATTTCATAAAAAAAAAAATGGTCATTTAAATCAGGATCAAATATGTATATATATAAAAATCATTATATTTAATTAAAGTAATTAAAATGAAATACACCAGTTGAATTAATTAACCAGTTTCAGACCAATAATGGAGGTGTGATCATAAATAAACTTGGAATCATCCAAAATCACATATAAATACAATAATAAGATCATTATAACTCTTTATCTGTGATGGAACAGTGATATTATATGCATGCATGACAAAATTAAAATTTGTCCACAAACATATTTAGTTAACAAATTATAAGTCAATAATGGATGTGTGGTCATGATTGAACTTCAGAAGTTATAAGTATCCAAATTCACATATAAATATATACAATAAGAAACTTGTAAAACGCGTCCTAGATAGAATAATATATTACGTGTATACCACGAAACTAAAATTTATCCACAAGCATGTTGCTTGAAGAACAATCATGATTCCTCAAGATATTTTTTTAGTGACAGATTCCTCAAGATCTGTTTTTTAGTTGAATATATCACACTAAAAGCAACAGCTGGAAAAAGAATGAAGGGACTGCAACAATTGTTGACCCCAGTTACTCATTATATCAAAAAGCGTTTTTATTTTGCTGCAACTTGCAAAGAAAGAACTTTGACTCATCACATCCACATCACATCTCAAAAAAAATTTCCAATTCAGATTTTGAAATGATGAGAAAATAATGATATAGTTAACTATCTTACATGCAAAGGATACATATGAATTTACCTTGCGGATTTGGAATTGGGAAGTGAATAGTAACCTGCATGGTGACCAAGGTCTTCAATAGAAGGTCCAGAATCACCAAAAAACGAGAACTCCTTCTCCACGATCTTTCCTGAAACAAAACCTCCATTGTCACCTTTGACAATGTTTACTGGGTCCTTTGGGGACAGGTTGAAGCTTCTAATCAGCTTTTCTGCTCGTGATTGTTGTGAGTTGGCATGGACGAAGCTAGAAGTTGCATAGGAAGGAGGAAGTGATGTGAAGAAAAACAAAACAAGAGACAGAGACACTTGGGAGAGAGTTAAGGTTGTTGACAGAGCCATATTGATTGAGTTTGAGGAAAATGTGTTCCAGTGGTTTTGAATTTATAGTATTCACAATGCAAAGGCTCCATCACTTTTCATTTCAGTTTTTTGTTTCTGAATATTTTAATTATAGATTTCATTTTCTTGTAATTAATCATGCACCACTTATTTACTCATTACATTTTTGGGAATATTAAGTCCTTTTGGGAGAATTTATTAGTATTAATTATTCTTTGAGATGCGAACCTATTATTATATATATAAATATATAACTTCTTCTTCTAAGTTATTATCTAAATATTTATAAATACGTGTTTATCTTTCATCTTATAATTCTAATATCAAAATTGTTCTTATCATAAAAATAAAATAATGTACGTTTCGGTTTTAATGATCGAATTTGAACAGATTTTGATTTTATTCATGTTTAAAGTTTTAAATATAAATTTAAATCAATTAATATATTTTAATATAATTAAATTAAAGTTTTATTATTAATTAAACAAATATTATTAATTGTTAAGGTTTAATTGTGGAAGAAAATTAAAATTATCAAATATTAATATTAATTTGGACATTTTTATTATAATTAGAAAATAATAAATATTATTTTATTATTAATTAATAGATTTTGTTATTTATAATAAATTTATTAATTTAGTAATAATTATATTAACATCAACTAATCTACTTATACAAAATTGGTAAAATTTGAAAACATTAACTATAAATATTTTATAAAAACAACATATATAATTTCTAATTTAAAGTTATTTATTTAATATTGATTAATTATATTTGTAATGAAAATTTTACATATATTACAATAATGTTCAGTTCATAATTATAATATATTTTAATAAAAATACTACAATTATTCTTTTTATACAATTTAAATGTTTAACAAATATTAATTTAGTTTAATAAATAATTTTTTAACTAAACATTTTTAAAAATGTTTAATTAATTTTAATATTTAATAATATTTTATTTAATTATATATCAAAGTAGAAACTGGTTAATGAAGAAGAAAAAAATTATAAAAGGAAAAATTATATATATATATATATATATATATTTAAAATCATTTCTCTCCAAAATAAATACACAAGTAATTTTGTAATTATATTATTTATTTATTATTATTTTTATTAAAAATAATAATTTTTATGTCAAAATGAATAAATAATTATTTTTTTACATTTTTCTTATTTTATATTTAATTAATTCAGCTATATATTTAAGACTCTAATTCAAAACTTTCAACTTAATTATAATAAATTTACTTTATTAATATTCATGTGTTATGACTATAATTAAAGAGTGATATTTACATTATAAACAACTCATTTTATTAATATAATAATCTATGATTTAATAAAAATAAAAAGAAATTATTATTATAATATTAAACATAGTTGTGTCGATGAAAGATCATTTTCATAATTAAATATTTAGTTCTTCTTACTTTTTCATATGTATAACTATTTTGCTGACTTCTGATTTCGGGTTTTATTTACTTACACGTGTGTGATGAACTCTAAGATGCTACACTTTTCATTTCTCTTTTGATAATGTTGTTTAATTTTTGTCAACAAAATTATATTAATAAATTTTGCAAATGTTATTATCTAACCTTGCATCATACATTTTAATACTAAAGCGTTTAATGTTTTTTAATAATCATAAAAATAATACTTGTAAATGTTAATATAAAATTATAAACATAGTTTAAAATATTTATAAATTTATAAAAACTATAAATCACACTTCCCCGTACATTATTGACTCCAGAGAAGGTAATATATGAAGTATTAAAAAGGCAAAGGATGAATTCACATTCAAATTAGAAAATAAATAAATAATATATATATACATATAATATTATAATTTTTATTTTTATTTTAAATTTTCTTCCCTCTTTTATCTCCACCATTTAAGGATGTCGTCCTATAATCCTTCAATCCCATTTTGACTGAAGTTGACTTACTAATAATTTTTATATATATATATATATATATATATATATCAATTTACTGGAAATAAATTATAATTTTTGGTGATTAATAAATATTTTTTAACATATAAATTGAGAGTATTATTATTGTTATGTATTATAATTAGATTTATGATAATTTGAATATTATAACTAACAGATAAAAAATAGTAAATTGAAAACTCAACTTATTTTGTCACCTTCTTACTATTATTGTCTCACTAGTTTTAAAAGCATTGCACAATTGATGATAAATTTTGAAGTGATCCACAAGTTTTTAACTCTAATACATTTCAATTAATGTATGTATTTAAGTTTCATCTTTATGTCTCTAGATTTTGAAAAGAAATGAAAAAAATTTGGATGGAGGGGAAGAAGGACTTCTCCTGATTGGGCCTGGCCCAGACAAAACTGGACCAAATATGAATTGTAGATCGAATGTTTTGAAAAGAAACGGAAAAGTAAGAAAAAGGTTATAATATATACATATTTTAATAATATATATATATATATATATATATATATATTTTTTTTTTTTTTTAAGAGAACTTAACGTACATTGATACACAAAACTATATCACATTCAATTTGTAATATAGTTTTCACAATTTTTTTTTAAACAATCATGTTTATTAATTTTTTAAAATTAAAATTGGTAAATTATATTTTTAAATTTTTATTATGTTTTAGCTAAATATAAACGTAGATGTCATGTCAGAAAAAGTTAGTGGTTATAAACAATTTTCAAGATTGTAAGTCTTAGCGTATGAACAATATGATTAGCCCTTGAAACACTTATCGTGCCTTCAAAGTTGGGTTTTTAAGTCATCGTTTTCCATTGACTATGTTTTCTGCAAGACTTACAAATGGAACCCTAAATTCCAAATGAACTTTCCTATGTTTTCTATTTTATTTATTTGTTCATTGACTTGGTCCAAGAAAAACGAATGACCTCGTATTCCTTGCAATTTCATCAAGTCACGAGAGAAAATTGTTCACTTTCTAGTTTAATTTTAATGCATTCAATTATTCTATTAAAATATGTTTTTAGTTTATAAAAGTAGTGAGCTTGACATTTATGTTTTCAGTTGTTTAAAATTTTTAGAAATTTATAAAATATTTTTTCTTATATAAAGTTAAAATTAACAATATAATAATTATATAAAAAATCATATTGCAAATTTATCAAAATCAAACTAACTTGTATTTTAACTAGGTTAGTTTAATTTAAAATATAGTGATATTAAATTAAAAAAACTTATATTTAATTTGAATATCCATATCAAACTTCATCGTAATAGTAGACTTAGTCAATTAAAAAAATATTTATAATTGAATAATCTACATATATATACATTAATAAACCTATCATTAAATTCATCGAAAGCAACTTCTCCTACTTTTTTTTTTAATATTCCACTAATAAATCTCAACCGAATGTTACATATAAAACCAAAGATAAGAGTTAGGTATTGGAATAAGAAAAGTTGGCCATATACTAAGTAAAATTAATTATTTCACAAAGATAGGTATATCCCCCTAATCAACATTTCTAACTCTTTATTTTAATTATAAGAAAAAAGTCATCAAATAATTATTACATTTTTCTAAAAAAGGAATCCACATATTTTAAGATTAAATGACACCTTTTTTTTCTATTTTCAGCATTTATATTTTTAATCTAATAATCTACCTCCATAATTAAATTATAAGAAATAACAGTCAAATAAAAATTCTTTTATACTTAATATTTTAGAATAAGTATATCCTTTTTAATAATTAAAACATTACATAGTTTTCATTTAACTAATAACTCTAACTTAAAATATTTCCATCAAGTTGTTTTGTTTTGTTTGTTTTTTTTTTCCTTTAACTTTTGTCTTGTTTTTAACTATAGGTAAAATTAAAGGAAAAAAAAAACTAACATGAATTCCTATTTTTTTTAATAAAATAACTTTTAGAGAATTTAGATAAATATATGCACGAGTTGAAAATATTTTATATAAAAAAAAACACCGGAAAAATCTAAACATCAACTTCTTTGTAATTTAAAACACGCACTTTATATGTATAATTTAACTTTTTTTTAAACAATAAAATTAATAATGTTGAATAAAAGTTTGGTTAAATTTATACTTATTCAATAAGCAGATAATTTATATTCTAAAATAAAAATAAAAAAAGAGAGATAATTTTAAAAATAGACATATAAAATGAACAGAAATTTGTATATTTGATTAAAAATAAATATAAACTCATTCATTAATGACCGTATCATTATTAACAATTTATATGAATTAAAGGAAGAGGTGAGAAGAAATTTGCCCGGTTGAAAAGATATAAATTGTGATTTAAAGAAGAAAATAAAAAGAGAAGAAAGAGAGAGTGTGTTGTGTCTGTTTGTGTAGAGGTAGCTCCCCTGACTCCGTCCACCACCTCCTCTTCCTTTCTTCTGTCGTTTACCCTTGCTTTACGTCACCGTTTTGATTGCGAAACGCAAACCTCCGCACCATAAACAACTCTCTCTCACACCAAAACTTTCCACCGGTAAGACCCACACAGTTACATAATCTTCAACCACACGCTTCCTCCTTCTTACTCTTCTTCTTCTTCCTTCCTTTCTCACAAACAGAAACGCTAACAATCATGAAACGGTGCGTTGCTGCGGCTGCGGCCGCTACTCTGTTTGCGGCGTGGCTGGTTCTCGTCGACGCGCGGTTTGTGGTGGAGAAGAGTAGCATCACACTTCTGTCGCCGCACAAGCTGCGGACGAAGCGCGACGGCGCTATCGGTAACTTCGGCCTCCCCGACTACGGAGGATTCATAGTTGGCTCTGTGGTGTATCCCGCCAAAGGCTCTCACGGTTGTCAGGTCTTCGACGGAGATAAGCCCTTCAAACTTCAGTCCTATCGTCCCACTATTGTTCTCCTTGATCGCGGAGGTCTCTCTCTCTATTTATATTATATATGTATTATCTATCTGTTTTTTCGGTTTTGTCTTCGTTGACTTTGATTTGTTTATCGTGCGTGCTTCATGTTTCATTCATGTCGTGTTATTTTAGTGTTAATTTACTGTTATCCGATCTTTTTTTTTTTTTTTTTTATGGTGTGTTCTGAAATTAGTTATGGTTAGTGTTACAATTGATTCTAGTGTGGATAGTTTATCTGTTCGTTGATCCTTTTTTTTTCTTGTTATATTTTTTCCTTTTTCGTGAATTTCTTATCTTTTACTGAAATATATAGACTGCTATAACAATCCGCAAAAATATGAAGAGAAATAAAGTTTTGCTCTTTCCTTTTTCGACTGTTAGTCATAGTTTCTTCTTCATTTGGCTGTTTCTTTTCCCGTTTCTGAAAGTTTCTGAAAATTGCTTAATTACGCGCTAAATTTCGTAAGTTCTTCTGTATAAACTGTTTATATACTCGAGGAAATATGTTTTCAGGAGCTATCCTAGAGAAGTTGGTATGAATTTCTTTATGAATACTTATAAACATAACAAAATAGGAAGGAAAAATAAAATAAACTTATTTTACAAGTTAAAATTAGTATATATATAACCTAATAAATTAATTTACAGAGACTCTCTTATATTAAGTTATTGTAAAATTGATTTAAACCTATCTATAAACTAATGTTATTCCAAATGTTTACACAAAAGTTTGTCTTAAGATAAACTATAAATAAACTTTTCTAAACAGGTTCTTAGATCATTATTTTAATGAATCCTAAGGTCTAAGCGCAGACGCATTTCATTGGAGCTTCAAGCATCCTTTTTATTATAATTCTTCGTATCTATGTTTTGTGATGCTTACTGGGAAAGTTATCTGCACTTGTAGAATGTTATTTTGCCTTGAAGGTTTGGCATGCACAACTAGCTGGTGCTGCGGCAGTTTTGGTGACTGACAGCATTGATGAGTCTCTTATAACCATGGATTCTCCGGAGGAGAGCTCTGATGCGGATGGGTACATAGAGAAGATTGTGATTCCGTCAGCTCTGATAGAGAAATCCTTTGGTGATATATTGAAGGACGCTTTGAATAACAAAGACGAAGTTTTGCTGAGAATTGACTGGAGAGAGTCAGTACCTCACCCTGATAACAGAGTTGAGTACGAGTTTTGGACCAACAGCAATGATGAATGTGGAGCTCGTTGCGACGAACAGATGAATTTCGTGAAGAATTTTAAGGGTCACGCTCAGATTCTTGAGAGGGGTGGTTACACCCTGTTCACTCCACACTATATAACTTGGTTTTGTCCACCGCCCTTCATTCTTAGCAGTCAGTGTAAGTCGCAGTGTATAAACCACGGGAGATATTGTGCCCCCGATCCAGAGAAGGATTTTGGAGAGGGCTATGAAGGGAAGGATGTGGTGTATGAAAATTTGAGGCAGCTTTGTGTTCATAGAGTTGCCAATGAGAGCAACCGTTCATGGGTCTGGTGGGATTATGTGACAGATTTCCATGTCAGATGTTCTATGAAGGAGAAAAAGTACAGCAAAGATTGTGCTGAGGAAGTGATGAAATCATTAGGTAAATACTATTTGATGCTGTTGTGAATCAAATAAGTTGTTTTCTCTTCTATTACGAAAGTTTAATTTTAATAATACAGATCTGCCTGTGGAGAAAATTAAAAAATGCATGGGTGATCCTGAAGCGGATGCGGAGAATGAAGTGCTAAAGAATGAGCAACAAGTCCAGGTCACATTTTAATATTTATTGCTATGCATTTTGAAGAATTAAAGAAAAAATGTGAACTGTCATCATAAAGACTACCGTATAATATGAAGCACCAAATCCAGGTGATTATATAATTCAATAATTTATATACTTGTGTTTCATTTATGATATTCAGATCGGTAGAGGATCTCGCGGTGATGTCACCATCTTGCCAACTTTGGTTATAAACAATGTCCAGTATAGAGGTTAGTTACTTAAAATTCGTACATGAAATCAAGTAAATTGAACTTACCATGCTTTTACTGATCTTCAATAATATTGAATTTGGCTATCAAGATCCAGTTTCAAGGGCCAAGAGAAAGTGCTCTCACTCTATACCTATTATGACTTTTGGTTCTTCATATTTCACTGGCTTGGTCACTAAAAGCTCCGTAAAATTTATTTTCAACTATGTAATACTTCTGTCTAAAACTAGAGCATCAACCATCGTGATCATCTTCCGGAGATGTGAATGGAGAACATTTTTCTGTTGATGCAATAATACATGTCTCATTGTCCGAACACTAGTTAAGACTAGAGGAAGATTTTAATTTGATTATCGGGCTTCACCCTAATTTTTATTTATCAATTTAGGGTTTTTGACTCATCCTATACGTTATTAAAAAACTGGGTTTTCTTTCTCACTAGAGGTAGATTAGTGAACATTATAACTTCTTTAGTTCTCTTTAATTTACTTTGTGATTCTCTGTGCTGTGATCGTCTTCCATTCCTTTATCTCTTGCCTGTATATTATGGACTTATTCTTTTAATTTTAGTTGATTGGTTAATTGAATTTCTAAATTTATTAGTGGCGCAATGTAGTGGATGTGTATGTTACATGTCAACTTCAACTATCCTTTATATGAACATATCTGATGTATCAGATTTCTGAAAATTTTATTTATCTTGTCTAAAGGAAAATTGGAGAGAACTGCTGTACTGAAGGCTGTATGTTCTGGATTCAAGGAGACTACTGAACCTTCAGTGTGTTTAAGTGAAGGTTAGTGTGCTTGATATCGTATTATATGAATTTCACTGATGATTGACTCTTAGTTCTAAAAATCTTGTGTTATATTCTAAACTACACATCCTGACTTGAGTTTATCAGATGTTGAGACTAACGAATGTCTTGAAAAAAATGGAGGATGCTGGGAAGACAAAAAAGCTAACGCAACTGCTTGCAAGGTATAAAATAAGGAATTTCTATTACCATTCCCCTCCCCCATAGTTAGTATCATTGGACATGATGTATCACGGTCCATCTGTGTCTGCTTATATATTGGCTACAAACTAAGCCTTTATACTTTTGTTCAGGATACGTTCAGGGGAAGAATTTGTGAGTGCCCTGTTGTGAACGGTGTTCAGTACAAGGGTGATGGTTATACAACATGTGAAGGTATGCATTTTCCAATCTAAAAAGTTATTTTAGAATATCAAAATATTTTTTTCTTTTTTCTCATAAAACAAGATGGCTATGGAAGCCAGAGATTAAAACATTTCCTCTATGATTTGGAAGTCATTCAATATGCAAATTTCATGATTGAGAAAATTCTTTTTATGTTGTAAATTTGTAATTGAAATCCAAATATAAATGGCTGTTTACTGGTAAAATTTGGATGAAAATCAGTAGAGCCTCTCCCCATAAACAGTCTTATTTGTGGTCTAAATTGATTTACTTTGGGAAAAAAAAATGCAAGGGAATATGAACTCATGTTGAACATTGTATGAGAATTAATATTACTTTTATTTGTTAATCATTATGAGGCTAATTTTAACTTTAATAAGCACTGCCTTCATAATGAAAAGATCTGTTATTGTGTTAATTTCTTGTGAATAAAGACAATACAGTGTTTGGTTGGTGTGGGATAACTTATAAAGAAAACTTTTGGAAGATATAAAAGCCCCATTTCAGTAATGCTAAATTTGACTTATTCAAATCACTCATCTCTGTTTCTCTTTGTGAAAAGCCTTGTATGTCAGTATTACGTATGGTTGCTGAGGAATAAATTAATATAGCATTCAAATACCTAAAGATGGGTTAATGTATATTTTGATTGACCAAACCATTAAAAAAGTCTTTGCACGGTCCATAGTAAGAGGCAATTATTTTACTTCTGTATTCACAAGTGATGTTCATTTTCATGATGTTTCTGAGGATTATATTATTTTCCTTATTTGACAGCTTATGGACCGGCAAGGTGTTCTATAAACAATGGTGGTTGTTGGTCAGAAACTAGGAATGGAGTAACTTTCTCAGCTTGCTCAGTTCAGTATTGCTTAACCTAACCTTCAATTTTTGTTCGGATTTTTTGAAAAAGATTTATTCTACTACTTTCTACACATCCCTCAAGGCTAACTGAATTCCCTTCTGTATAAATAAAGGACTCCAAGGTAAACGGCTGTCAATGCCCGGTTGGGTTTAGTGGGGATGGTAATAAATGCGAAGGTAACATTTGTTTTTGCGGTGGCAAGAATTAATTAAACACATCTTGTTTTCTTTGTATGATCAATTTTGTAAAAATACAAATCTATTTAAAAAACATATGTTTTGATCTTATTCAGATGTTGACGAATGTAAGGAAAGAAGTGTTTGTCAATGTGATGGCTGCAGCTGCAAGGATACTTGGGGTAGTTACGAATGTAAATGCAAGGGAAATCTTCTATATATTAAGGAACAAGATATCTGTATTGGTAAGATATTAAAGTCCATCTGTTGCTCTGCTATTATTACTACTATCAATTCGTGATCCCACCACCATAACCAAAGTTTTTTCTAAGGCAATTCATTTTGTTCATGATTAGAATTTTACTTTTTTTTTTTCACGCAGAAAGAAGTGGATCACGATTTGGAGGGTTCCTTGCCTTTGCGGTCATAGCAGTTGTTGTGGGGGCTGGTCTAGCTGGTTACGTGTTCTACAAATATAGGCTCCGGGTAAGCCTAATTCAGCCTCAATTACAAACAATATTAGGCATTGTTCATGTTAAATTGGAAATCAAAATTTTCACCAATGGCCATATTAATTTACACGTCTCTTTTTTGTAGTCTTACATGGACTCCGAGATCATGGCTATCATGTCACAATACATGCCACTGGACCAGCAAAACAATGTAGTTCATGCTGAAACTCAGCCTTTACGACAACAAGGCACCGTGTAAGGTATATTCAATTATTCATATCTCTTCACCTTTTAACTAAAAGACAAAACTTAGATGCAGCTCAACTTTATTTGATATTGTTCCTTGATCAGAATTGATGTTTTACTCTGGTAAATTATAAAAGGTGTGCATTAATGGTCCACATGAGTTATCAAGGTGAAAGCATCTAAGGAACTGCATTAACATTTTGTCCATCAACTTATTTACTGCATTTGAGACAGGCTTTTATGGGGAACAATCTTCTTATTTTGCCATCACCTGTATTCTGCCTGCAGACATACATAATAAGCTAAAAGTAGTCAAAAGGAACTCGTTGCACTATACTATCCATTTGAGGGATGGATTATAAACAGGTCTGGCTATGTGGATTTTAATCCATTTGACAGCGAGGGAAGATCAGCACTTTACTGTAGGATAATTATGCGAACGATTGGAATGCATACAGAAATTTTCTACTCAGAATAATTTCCATTTTCCACAGTTTGTATATAGAACTTTTGAGATGTACATGTACACCTTAGATAGAGAATAAGGATCCATGACGACATTGATCCATGTTGTCAATACAAATACATCACTCTTGTTCTTCTTTGTGGCCTAAATATAATTTTTTGTTCACCATTCCAATTTTTCACCCACCATTTTGCCTAATAATAAGATAAAAGGGGTGACTAATCAAATATGCTCAAATATTCCTCTGTTAAGAATCTGATCATTGTCGGTTACTGAAATAGAGTAGCTTCTCTTTTGGATTATCAAGTTCATACACAATGTTAACTAATAGTAATACGGATTAATAATTTATTGATTAATTATAAATACAAGTGTTAAAAACTAATACTAAATCATTTTTTGGTTCAATTTATAAAAACTAGACTACTAAAAAATACTTCAGTGTACTATTACTAAATTATTATGAGAGTTGGAAAACATTATTTGCACATCCATCTATTATCCATTCTTATAAGTCATCGATTCTTTTAAATGTAATTTTTGACCACTTAAACTAAATATAAGTTATAATGTTAGTTTGTTAAAAATATTAAGATCAATACATTACTAACTTGGTTACTCTGAAAAACAATGGTAGCATCTTTTATGCTCTAATGGCAGAGTTTGCATTTTATCAATGGTATGCTCCCTTTTAATATTACGACTTATATTTATACGTAGTTCAACTTGTTCGAACTATTTCTTTAGATTTTAGTATGGACAAACAATTTTTCAACTTTATTTCAGTTTTCATACAATTTAATTTGGTTCAACTCATTAGTTTATAGTAGTTATTCTTGCGAATTCTTTAACTTCATTACTTTTTACTTATATTTTAATCTTTTTTCCAACCTCTTTTTTTACTAAGAAAAAAAACATGATTATTGAAGTATTAATTTCATGTGATAAATATAAGGAAACAAATATCTATTTAAAAGTGATAGATAAATGTAATTTTATTCGAAACATAAAAAAAAATGTCCGATTTAAAACTAGAATAAACATGAATATCATTTAGTATAATTTTTGGAAGGTAAATATATTTTTCGCATTATTTCAACATAATAAAAAGGTTTATCAATATTCACAAACTAAAAAATATATATGCGTACATATATAATGCTATTCTTTCTAAACAAAGTATATAAAAATAACACTAATGATAAGTGTAAATCATACTAATAAAAATGATAAAAATAATATTATAAAAAGGAAATTTTAAAAATATTACTTGATAATTCATGATTTTTAAATTGACAAGAAAAATAAACATAAATGATTCATTCCCAATACTACTTACTCTACAACTTGTCCAATTAAAAACTTCAGAAATGAAATCCAAATTAAGTTTAATATATTCTTTAAATTCAAATTATCGCAAATGAAAAAAAATGCGTACATAAATTAATTAAAAATAAAAAATATAACTACAGTAATAACATAATAATCTAAAATACTAGAAAAATATTATCATAAAAAGGAAAATAAACATAATAAAAAAGAATAGTAAGTATAAGTTGTTGTTATTATAATAATAAAATACTAAAATAAAACGAAGAAAATTGAATAGTATTTCTTGAAAATATAAAGTTTTTAAAATTGAGAAAAATAAACAGTATTGATTTAAATATAAATATATCAACTTTATGGTATGATTGAAAATCATAATTTCAGGAATTAAATCAAATAAAAATGAATTAAGTTAAAATAATCTTAAAATTCAAAATATTCAGAATAGTAAAATATAAATATGCTGAAACCATGGTCTGGATAATGTTTTCTCTACATTCTTCTTCCTACACTCTACTCTGTGTTACTCTCATTTGTGCTTCGTTCCATTTTCATTATCCAACAATGGCTTCTTCTTTTCCTCTTTACCAGCCAACACACACCATATTCTCCAACACCCAGGTTCCAATTTCTGTCCTTTTTCCCTTCCCTTTTCTGTCTCTTGACTTCGAGCCTCTTTTCAACCATGTTTTCTTTCTCAGCAGTTCAAGGGCTCGCGCGGTGGCTTCTTCTGGCGAACCTCTTACTCCTTTGGCTCTCTTACTGAAAACAAAGCTCGACCCATCAAATCTTCCGTCGCTACATCCCCATTTCCCCTGTTTCAGCCTCCCCATGTTGAAGAAGAGTCATCGTCTGAGGTAAATCCCATTTTTTTTTGTTTTTCCTGCTTTGCCCCTGCTTGTTTGCTACTTGGTTGATGTTATAATGGTTTGGCACTAACTGACACCTTTGAGCTGCTAGTGTGAGTGCTGTTTCCTTAATTTTATGTGCTTTCATGTTCACAACACATAAGCATGCTTGGATGCAAAGAGCGGTTTTTAAGTCTTCGATCAAACTTTAGAAAGGTTATATAAGAGATTTTTCTATAGTTTAACTTATGCATAATCTAATTTTAACTTATATTGTGAATATCATTTCATCAGCATTTATTTCTCCTTAATTTTCCCTATTATAATTACTTATGGAGAAGCTTGTCAAATAAGACCCTTGATTCATCTATTCTGAGAGCTAAAGTGCAAAGTTGATTTAACTTATACGAGAAGCTCAATTCATTTTACTTTTTTTTTCCCTTCTAGAAGTGATTAGAGAAAAAATTATTCAAACAAGATCTATATATGCTTTTTATATGCCTACTGAGTTTGCGTTTGTGTTTATGCATGTAACAAAATGGCTTTTAAATACTGTAATAGTGCATGTGTCAACTACATCCACATAGTTCCGGACTAAGTTGATAAGATACATGTGCTATTGAGATTAAGAAAAGTAGAAAAATGTGGGGACAAGATAGGGTTAAAGTGATATGCTAAAATAATGTGTCAAGAAAAGAGGGCTTACAGTGAGAAGCAGAAAAAATGATACAATATAAGGCTTTCCTAGAAGTAGGAGAACCTGCAAAAAGATGTTGAAAAAAGATGAAACTTGAGAGAAGTTTGAAATGGAGAGACAACAGATAGCTATGACTATTGGATATCTTAATAACAACAGCAACAAAGTTGGGGGAATGGGCGGGAAACAAAGTTGATAGGGAGCTGAGACATTTCTAGTTAGAACATTGTTTTTAACATATATGGCAACTAGATTTTAATATATAGTAAATAGATTTGATACTTTTATCTTCACAACACTTCATACATAACCGTGAATATTGTTTCTATAGTTTGACGCATTTTTATGTTTATAACTCTTAAAATGATTGAGTGAGAGTTGTTTCTAATTTGATCTTCTTTTATGCTCATAATTCTACATATTAAGTTTCAATATCTTCTTTCTTGAATGACCAGCCTTGCAATGAATTCTTCAAGATGCTTCTGTTTGATATATTTTCTTTACTTGTTAATTTATTTGTTCCTCTAGTTGGAACCTGTGGATCCTGATTTCTATAAGATCGGTTATGTCCGAAGCATGCGAGCTTATGGCGTTCAATTTAAAGAAGGACCAGATGGTTTTGGTGTATATGCTTCCAAGGATGTAGAGCCTCTTCGCCGAGCAAGGGTGAGTAGCTTCATTTAATATTGCTAGTTGCCACTGTTGAAGATATGATTTGATTTGGTTGAATGTAAACAGGGGGGTAAGATATATTTTATAGATATGTAGGGATGGCACAAATGAAAATGATTTCACATAATGTCAACATCTACAGTTTTTTATGTAGTTAGTTATTTGTATCATATCCTTTATGATTATATTCTTATTCTTAGTAGCTGTCCACGAATGATTTCCCTAATGATGAAGTTGGGCAGGTTATAATGGAAATTCCCCTTGAATTGATGTTAACCATAAGCAAGAAACTCCCATGGATGTTTTTCCCTGATATAATTCCTTTGGATCATCCAATATTTGATATTATCAACTCGACAAATCCAGAGGTATTTGCAATTCTCCTCTAAGTTCATTAGTATTTAATAAGATATAACCAATTTGCTTGGTTGTTTTTGCTTTTCATGATAAGTACACATGTTACAAAAATTGTTCTGGTCATCTGCTTAATGTAATTGTGCAAATCTTTATGACAGACAGATTGGGACCTAAGATTAGCATGCCTTCTTTTATTCGCATTTGACTGTGAAGGCAACTTCTGGCAATTGTACGGCGACTTCTTACCGAGTGCAGATGAGTGCACTAACCTACTTCTAGCTTCAGAGGTGTGTATAAAACAAACTAGATTTTCATCTTCAAATCATTGTTAGATTGTGGTATTCAGTTTTGAAATCATTACTGATCAATTCTTGATATTGAAGGGAGATCATGTACACAGTAGATGTTTCTATTCCCATTTGAAGGGCTGTTTCAAAGTTTTTTCCTTGAAAATATTTTAATGTGCAGTTTCTGTGCTGAAGCTGGATCATGTTATAATACTAAGGGAAAGTAATTATCCTTAATAGTACAGGTTCTATTATGTGTTACGTGTATATTTCTTTCTGGTGTACTGTGTAGATTTGAGGGACCCTTTACTTGGTTCTTATATTGAGATATTTGATTGGCCTATAATAAATTAGGTTGGAGCAATGTACTCTAGTAACTAATTTTACCACTGGTTGCACTTAAAATATTTGTAACTTTGTAACTCAGGTCATTATAGGTTTCTATATTTTGCTTTATTTATGGAAACCTAGAACATAACATAAGTTTTGGTCGAGCCACAAGATACCTATCAAATCTTGTGAGTTGGCCTGCATAAATTAATCCTTTGCAATTTTAAGATTTTATTTTGGAGCTTACGATAAAATGTTAGTAATAATTTTATGTCATCTCTTATATTGATATGTATAACTAGGAGGAACTTTTGGAGCTACAAGATCCCAATCTTGCTTCCACAATTAGAAAACAGCAACAACGAGCCTTAGAATTCTGGCAGAATAACTGGGTAGGGAGCAAATTCTTTCTTGAATTTGTTAGTCTTCCCTTGTGCATAAACCTATGATGTATTCCTAACAAATTTTGTTAATCTTGTTTAGCACAGTGATGTACCCCTTAAAATAAAGCGTCTTGCTCGTGATCCTCAGAGATTTATTTGGGCAGTAAGTATTGCACAGTCACGATGTATTAACATGCAAACGAGAATTGGTGCTCTAACTCAAGAAGCAAACATGCTGATTCCTTATGCTGGTGAGCTCAGTTCACCTTAGTCTGACTAAATATGATATCTTTCATGCAGTCATATAGTCAAACAGACCTTTTATCTTTGAATTTCATTGTAATTCTATTTCCTTTAAGGAGTTTGTTTATTTTGATGTCATCTACCTGTTTCAGGAGAAAATCTTGAAATTAGAAAAAATAAAACTAGAAAAATAACCATTCAAAGCCATCTGTCATTATTATAAATTTATAATTGGAGTATATATCACTATGGAGAACTTAAAAAAAATTTCACTGTTTGAGTTATTCATTATGCATGGAATGGAATAAATTATTTTTCTCTCTCTATGGCATAACAAAGCATCAACCCTTTGAGAAGAAGGGAAATTGTGTAACATGTTTAGTTACATTCTCTTGGGGGAATTTCTTTCTTTTCCTTTTTGATAATGTGAACTTTTTATATCAATAAAAATAAATTTTGGTGAGTGATTGGAACTAATATTATGGATTGTGAATTAGCTGTAAACCTTTCATTTTCTCATCGGCTTTCTTTTGTACCAAATTTGATTTGAATTATACTGCAAGTATACAAACACTTTTAGGCAGTCCTTGAACTTTTCTTTTTCTCTTTATATGACTTTTGTTGTGCGAAAGAAAGAAAGAAAACAAAACAATGTAGTAGAGGTAAAAGAAGTCGGCAAAAAAAATGTAAAAGTTGATTTGTATATATTGCATGTGGTGGCAGTGTTTATTTTTCCAACTTAAAAACTAAGCTCATATTGATTAACATGGGTCTTGCTTTTCAGATATGTTGAACCATTCATTTGAGCCAAATTGTTTTTTCCATTGGCGTTTTAAGGATAGGATGCTTGAGGTTCTTATAAATGCTGGGCAGCGCATAAGAAAGGGGGATGAGGTAAACTATTTGATTTTGCTATGATAAAGATGTTCAATTAATTACCCTAGAAGATAGTTGTGTTGGAAATAACAAACTGTATTTAAAGTACATTTTAACTTATTTAGGAAATGACTATAATTATTACTGCATGTATATTATCTTAATTGTTTACTGTATGCGTATTATCTCCTAGATGTATTTATAGTCTATTGTTGTATCATTCGATTGGTAAGGAATAACGTTCTATTTATCATAATCTTTCAATTCTTTCATGGTACTTGGGGATACCTCCTCAAAGTGGTGATTATGCCAAAAACGTGGTACTTGATAGCTCTTCAACCTTTGCTTCTCATTACCCTAATTGTCCAAAGCATATGCATGAAACCTTCTAGAGGTTCCTTGAGAACCAAGGGACATTTATTGTGGTTTAGAATGTTATTGGACTCTATCACCTTCCATAGTGATCTAAAATGTTCTCCAAACAAAATACCCACACATATAATCAAACAAACACGAAATTAACAAAAGAAAAAGAAACATAGAAGGAAATAGTATTTGTTAGCTCCGGAAGGATCTAAATAAGAAACATTATTAGCTCAACATGGTTCTTCAATTCCTTTGCATACTTGTTCAAGAAACCCCAAAAACAACTTGGCAGCCAAAATACTCTTAAAAGGCTAGAAGAACAAGTTATCTAAAGAGGATAACTGGTAAACAAAAGCTATCATGTTATGCTATAGATATATGCATCTAAAACCAGAAAAGAGTGCAAAGGTCCACAATATCTTGTGCTGCAAAGTTGCCTTAGTTGCATTTACCCTCACATCAAGTAAATGTAACATACAAGCCGGTTTAAGAGATTGAATTAGGTCCAAAGTCCAAATTTTAAGATCTTGCTATGGCCAAAAACGCTAAATTGAATGAGGAGGGAAAAAGCTGAAATTGAAGTTTAGAAAGCAAATCCATGTTCCCCTAGAATGTTAAACGTCTAACATCACAAATTCATATTGATAGCTTGCATATAATTGTGTTTTTGTGCTCCGTACTTATCTTTGCTATCATGGTCCTGACATAGGAGTGTTATTGTTCATAAGCTTGAAATATTATTTAGTTATTTTATTTGTAAGATTGGTTAACATGCTTTTAGAGCGTAAATGCTTTTATGTTGGTGTAACTAAAATATTTCCTTCCATGATTATTTTATCATTTATATTATTCAGATAGACATGGACATGCTGATTATACTGTCAAAAATTGTAACAGATGACAGTTAATTACATGAGTTCGCAGAAGAACGACATGTACATGCAAAGATATGGATTTTCATCACCTGTGGTAATTTTCTTTCAATTAATCTTGATGAATGGAATATTCCATATCTTTTTGTTCTTTATCCTGAATATTTCTGGTTGAGACCCATGAAAATATACATTAAATAGAGCCCATTATAGAGCTCACTGTCAACCATGCTAGAGTGTTGGTTGTTGAACCACCATGTCGGCTTTCCTGAACTATAACTTTAAGTGACAAAAAAATCTAGCTTCTTCATTGTCTTTCAAACTCCTATCACCATGGTTATGTTGCTACACTTTATTCATTCAAAACTATCAACTGCGTCTTTCACTCTAACTGTAACCTTAGACGCTCAATGTTAACAAACAGTTAGTAGTTTTCCATATAACTCTAGGAAAATCCAATTAAATGATTTTAGTTTGACATAAGTTTATAACCACTTTGATATAATTCCATTTGCAACATGTGACTTTGTGTGTGTTTTCTAAATTCAACACCTATAAAACAATCCTCAAGCATAACAAATTAACAATGAATATTAGACTAAAAAATTCATGATGCTCTTGATCAGGTAAAAGCATAATATTATTTAATAATATACAAGTCAACTTTAACTTTTAATTCAAAATAAAATATTGTCTCTCCTCTTTTGCTGCAGCATCTTGATAAGCTATAATGGCATCGTATATTGTGAATCTTTAATGCTTACTAAACCTGGTGTTAAGAAATTACTTGTTACTTGTGCGATAGTTATTGGCTATCCAATTGTTTAAAAGCAGCAGTTGAAGTGTATGTATATCATTGATCACTAGAAACACAGAATAGGTACCAAATGATTTGCTCCCACTGTACATAGTTGAAGCAGTGGCTTCATGTTACAGATATGTTTAACTTTATTACTAGGGAATAACATAATAGAAATATCTGCTAGTCACTCTGTATTCTCTGCATAACAGGTACAAAAAAGTCCTTGATACAACTTTTAATGAATTAAGTGGGAAACAATCTCAATATTTAGTACCCTCAATGGAACAATGATTTGATGCAATATGGGAACCTAGATTCACACAAATGCTCGTAAGATAGATACTCTTGAAGTCAGCCTCATTGGAGGTTTAACTGCCACAACAAAATCTGTTCATAAGTGATTTGAACCATTTCTCGGTACTCTGACTTTTCACTCTGTTCAGAAACTGCATTTTACTTCTTCAGGAAGAAAACCAAAAAGTAATTAAAACAAGATAGAAATTTTGTGAGTATAGGAAAACATATAAACTGAAAAGCAAACAAAATACACTCTAAAATTCTTCCCACAAAGTACGGTAAAGTTAATCACCCATCCACTACAAATTTAAGCTAACTCATTCATTGAGACTTGTCAATGGTCACTATATAGTGTGCCATGTGCTGGTGCATCTTTGAAGTATTTATATCATGATTTTGTTATTTAATTTTTCTTGTAATTTAGATCTACTGCATTTAGAAATGTACTTCTCAAAGTTGCTTACAATTGCAGAATCCATGGGATGAGATACAATTTTCAGGCAATTCACGTGTTCATTTGGATTCCTTTTTGTCAATCTTCAATATTTCTGGCCTTCGTGAAGAGTATTACCATAACAGTATGGGCAATATGAATTTTCTTTCTGGAATCTGCTATGTTACACTAATGTCTATTCAAATTGGCATTATTTAGAATATTAATATGAAATTTATGGCAGGTGGTCTATCAAACGCTGGAGATACTTTTGTTGATGGAGCAGTCATAGCTGCAGCACGAACATTGCCAAGTTGGTCAGACGGGGATGTGCCTCCAGTCCCTAGTGTGGAAAGAGCGGCTGTGAAGGAGTTGCAAAGTGAATGCCGAAAGATGCTCGCAGGATTTGCTACAACCTCTAAGCAAGACCAGAAATTGCTCGGTAAATTTGATGTTTTTATCCTCGCACTATAGAAAGTAGACACAGAACTGATTGTCATAATTTGTATGATGCAACATGATTGCTTTGTGAGAATATATATAACTGTATATCATCCTGAAAATGGTATAGATAAACCTGTTAAGTTTTCTTCTATGTCATTAATATACTTGGGCTGGAATTGGGGTATATTCTAGTTGACCTGGAGTCAGTCTATCAACATTGCCAAAATAAGTTAAAATCTGAGTTGAGGCTACTACTCTGCATGATTACAATTATATCGTCTGCTTAAGCTTCACCAATATCAATCGAACATTCATTAACCCTGCAAATTCACTTTGTAGTACTTATGTCGATGATTTTAGTTGCACCAGGAATACATCTTGAGTACGCAAATCCAATGGGCAAAAGGCTCAACCACATTTGTAGTGGAGCTATTAAATTATCACTTAAGATTTATAAAATACTCATGTATTTAAAGGATGGGCTCAACCTTGTAATATTGTAAGATCATAATTTACCAAAAGTTCTAGGATTGCGTGACTATTTTGAGTATTTCAATTACCTGAAGTTTCATGAGCCAATTCTTAGCTTACATATCATGATTGCAGATTCAATGACAGATGCTACGAGGACACTTGAAGCTGCTATTACGTATGCCATATTTACATCATCTAGCAGTTTCAAAAGTTTCTTTTAAAAAATTTAGCGACATCTTAAATCCTAAACCCTTTAATTATAGTTTCTCTATGAATGCCGAAAATGCAGGTATAGATTGCACAGAAAATTGTTCATGGAGAAAGTTATCCAAACATTGGAGATATATCAAGAGAAAATACTGTTCTGATCCCCAATCCACTAACAGGTGAATAGTCAGGAAAATTTTTTTAACACTGCGGTATATACCTGTAATCCTTGTCTCCAAAAAACAATGCTCTTTATCCACGAATTGCGGGTTCTTCATTCTGTTGTACTACCATTTTCTGTGATGTACCTTGATCATGTTCTAAGCACATTACAAGAAAGAGTGAAAGCGTAGTTATGAAAACCATACCGGAAGAAATCAAACCTGTGACGAAGACTGAGTTATTAATTCACTTGTTTAACCATGTAGCGGACAGTTCAACTGGAAAAAGACAAACCCCTTTCCCTTTCATAAAAAATTTAAATCCCAAAATTTCATACCAAAGAAAATGACAACTTGACAAGTGTTTAAAGACACGTGACAAGGTGCAAAATTTAGAATCATTAAAACATAGAAAAACAGATCATACAATAGTTATTTAAGAATAAAAAGTATTACTCTAACATGAGAGAGTTGTTAAAAATTGAATTTTTTTTTCAATTTTAAATAATTCTAAATGTGAACTCATTAAATGATATTTTTTATTTATAAACCATTTTTTAAGTAAATCTTTTTTGAAAATACTTAGGAAAGAAATAGTTTAAATAAAAATATTTCAAATTTGGGCTTACATTGAAATAAATTATGATAAAACAAAATATAAAGGTTCTTCAATATAGATTTATTCGGTTAAAGCACCGATATATCAATTTGTTTTACGTGTTCGTGTCGAATATTTCACTGGTACTTCACTTATCAATGAAGTATTTATATTTTACAAATCTATGAAACATAAATACTTTTATTTGTTTATATATATATATATATATATATATATATATATTTATGAAATAAAAACCTATAAATATTATTTTTCATACACTAGAAAAAAATTGTTCACACGAAATATTTCAAGAATTCTCAAAAATTTAATGAGAATGATAGTTTTATTCTTACATGTAAATAACAAAAAATATTTTATAATGATAATTATTAATTTTTTATGATAATTTGGATTTGCATGTTTCATAAATGTTTGTATATTATTAAATACTTGTCGTATCCTAATTTTTCTTAAAACGTATCGTCGTATCACAGGTTAATATACTGCATAGCCACGTAAAAATGTGTTGTAAAGAATGCACGCAAAATGTTGATAGATTATTTCATATATAATTAACTAGTGGTAATACAAATTAATGAAGATAAAGAACTGGAAGTCTCACAATTAATGAAGACAATTTCCGGGATTCAGGGTTAGTTATCCAAATTATGTAACTATACGTGATATCAACTTAACTTCTCGCCCACAAGATAAGGAAAAAGGTAGTTAAGAGGAAGAAAAATAGAGGTAGCTTGCGAAAGAATTTGAATCCTCTCCAGGTTTGCAGTCTAGATGAACCTATTATACTATGAGAGTGATTCAGATAATTAATATTTTTTATACTCTTAAGTTTAATAATCTTTACATATAAAATCAGAGGTTGACATCAGTGCTAGACGGAACCACAGGAGAGGATCCAGCCACGGGAAGGAGGTTGAGATGAATAAATCAGAAAGAATTAATATTTTACTGTTCACTTTGTTTTACCAGTAATCCCCACAAGAGCAAGTTCCATTTCTGAAATGATGGAACCTTCTAACATCTCTGAGAATGATTTCCCTGTCCACAATCTTTGATATGATTTTAGTGGCAACATGGCAGTCATTGCAAACCCGAAGGTTTTTGGCAACTCTGATGGTAGTCCCTGGAGGGGTGTTTAAAAGGCCAAAAGCTATCGCCAGTCTCTCACTATGCCCACAGAGCATAGTTTCTTTTTCTTCATCGTCAACATTGTGAAGCACACATGAAGTATCAGGCACATAGCCCTCCTTTCTCATTCTCTGGGACAGAGTTTCAAGATACGCATGAAGTTCTTTACTTTGTGGGTGTGAAGCATCCCCTGCCAAAAACTTATGAACCTCATCACCATGCTCAATCCAACTACAACCAGGTTCTTTTCTTACTCCCATTTGCTTCATTTTCTTCCGCACTTCCATTGCCTGTTCCCAGAGTCCAGCTGAGGAGTATATGTTAGACAGTAGAACATAATGGCTAGCTACATTTGGCTCCAAGACAAGCAGGTTCTTTACTGCAATTTCACCAATTTTTACACTCTGGTGAATCCTACAGGCACCAAGCAAACTACTCCATGCATCTACTTTGTTCAAATTGGATGGCATTGTGTGGATCAATTCGTAGGCCTCTTTGATCCGACCAGATCGGCCAAGCAAGTCCACAAGACAAGCATAATGGTCAGCTCTGGGTTCAATCCCATGGCTAGCTTTCATTGTATGGAATAAATGAAGGCCATCATCCACCATCCCAGAATGACTACAAGCAGCAAAGATAGCTATATAGGTCACTTCATTGGGCCTTATTACTTCCCTATCGCTGCCTCCTGCTGTCATTCTTGTAAAAAGCTTCAAAGCTTCTTCCCCTTTTCCATGCATCCCATAAGCCATGATAAGAACATTCCAAGTAATAACATTTCTTATGGGCATTTGATCGAAGACTATCCTAGCCAAGTTCAGGCAACCACATTTTGCATACATGTCAACCAATGCACTTCCCACAGCAACATCCATTGCCAGCATTTGTTTAACAGCATAAGCATGAATCTCCTTTCCTTTACCTAACGCTGCCAAGGCAGCACAACCTGGAAGCACCGTCATTAGAGTTACCGAATTCGGCTTAAGGGGAATTCTCTCATCATCCTCGGAATCAGCGAATGTGTCACTCCCAACTTCTACTTGACCTCTTTGCATCTCATGCAGAAGATTTAGCGCATCATCATACTGCCCACAAACAACACAGCCAGTGATCATAGTGTTCCAAGATACTATATCCCTTCTACCCATCCCACCAAATATCATCTTCGAAATTTCAATCCTTCCCATCCTGGAATACATGTCCATCAACGCATTCTGCACATACTTATCCTTCCCAAATCCCCTCTTCACAATGTAACCATGGATCCCTTCTTTGTCCAAAAACGCCTCGCAACGCACACAAGCAGGCAACACACTAGACAAAGTAGTGGCATTTGGACAAAACTCAGACTCGGAAACCATCTCAATAAACAGTCTCAACGCTTGATCATCAAACTCATTCCGCGCATAACCAGCAATCATGGCATTCCAAACCGACACCGTCCTCCTCAACACCCCATCAAAAATCAACATACCCTTCTCAGCCTGCTTGCAATTACAATACATGTCAACCAACGCAGTCCCAACAAACGAATTATCAATCAAATCCCCATTCCTCAATGCATAGCAATGGATTTCCCTCCCAATCCTCAACCTCTCCAATTGAGAACAAGCTGGCAAAACACTCGCCAATGTAACTCCATCAGGCCTAACCCCATCAACAATCATAAGATACATATACATCAACGCTTCCTCAAACCTATCATTCTGAGAAAGAGAACTGATAATAGTGTTCCAAGACACCATGTCTTTGCCATCGAACACATCAAACAATGTCTTAGCGTAGTTAACTCTCCCCAATCTCGCATACATGGTCACCAACGCATTGCTGGTGTAAGTTCTCAAATCATCGTTTCTCAGAGTATACGCATGCACTTCCTTCCCGAACCGCGTGCCACCACGCACGTGCGAGCATGCGTGTGCCACGCTTACCAACGTAAACGACGTGGGGTCCACGTTTTCCGACAGCATTAACCGAAACAAGTGCAGGGACAGCTCCCACTCCTCGAACCGACACAGCGTCGCGATCATGGAGTTCCACGACACGTGGTCTCGGTCGGGGATTTTGTCGAACACTCGGCGCGCGGCGGAGAGGTCGCCGCATTTGCCGTACATGTTGACGAGGGTGTTAGCCACGGCGACTGAGGGTGCGTGACCAAACTTGAAGACGTGCGCGTGGATTTGCTTCCCGAGGCTGAGGTCGTGGACGGCGGTGGCGGCCTTGAGGACGGCGGGGAAGGCGAAGTTGTCGGGAGGTGCGGCGGCTGCGAGCATGCTGGCGTAGGTGGAGATGGCGTCGCGGAAGTAGGAGGATTGGGTTTGGAAGCGGAGGAGGTCGGTCCATTGAGATTGAGAACGGCGTTCTACGGCGGTGGCGTCGGTGGCGGAGGCGGTGGCGGTCGGTGGAGGAGGATGATTGGGAGTGGGGAGAATGAGAGAGTGGGGATTTGTTTGGAGGGAAAAAGGATAAGGGAGTGGCGGTTGGGTAAGACTTAGATAGGAATGCATTTTCAAAAACCATCTTTTTTCTATAAACTTTTTCCGCTATTTATCTTTTTCTACTTTGAAGAAATTTGTTAGGCTTTAGAATAAAATTTATTATTTTCAAATAATGATTTTGACATACAACCCATCATTATTCATGTAAATACAACGAATTAGTAAAATAATGATTTTAGTAAAATGTGATTAATAATGATTTTGACTTCTCTATCTAATTCGTAAGTGTTTATAAGTGTTATTTGTGGTGTTCATATTGGTCATTTTAAATGTTGAAAATTTACATGGAATCAAGAACATTTTTCATAAACAGTAAACACAAACATGGAAATAACCTTACAATCAAAGAATTGAAGAATGAGGAAGATAAGAAAAATACTCACCTTCACGGTTACACAAAGATACACTTTTTATAAGGTTTGTTTTTAATTCTGTTAGAGTCTTATTACTTTGCTTGATAAATTATTACATCTCACTATTTATTGATTTTATTTTTCTCAAATTTGTTTTATAATTATTTTCCATATTAATTTGGTCTTATCTCTTTAAATGATTCAAATATAGAATTGTCCTAAATTTAGGTTGGATCACGTTTGAATAAATCTATCATATAATATAATAATAAAAAATCTAAAATTAGATTGAGTTTAACTTCTACATTTTGTTTTAGACTTAATCAAACCTATTCGGCTCTTGATTGGTTGGGGTTGAAATTGATTTACAGATTTTTTTTGTTGTTAAATTTTTAATTCAAAATATTTGACTACATTTTTTAGAATAATTTTCTCAAAAATAGGCCATATTATTTAATATTTTTAAAATATATATATTTAATTAATAAAATGATTAAATAAATTGAGTTAAATCTAAAACACCTATCATTCAATTCTTAAGAAATTTATTTATATTGAAATGATTAAATTTGACTTAATTAAAAAATAAACCCAATCTAATTTATTTGTTAAAGTGAACGAGATTGAGTAACGAGTTATTCAATCTAATATAATATATTTTTTATTTTTATAAACTTTTTTATTCTAAAAAGGCTATTTAAGTCACTTTATTTTATAATTCAAAAGATTATCTAAATTTCCAAATAAAAAACAAAATAAACGTTTTACAATGAACTTATAAGTTACAAAAATATAAGGGATAAGGATGATTTTTTTTTAAAGTATATTAAGATATATGAGATAGTGAAATACTTCTAAAACAATGTAAATATTCATATCTATTAAGTATTAATTGTAAATTGAATGAGTTTCACACTTTCATTTTGTTTTGCAAGGAAAACATGTGTCAGTAGTGTCTGTTCCAAATGCGACGTGGATTCGAGTGCGGGTCGCGTGTCATGCGGGAGTGGTATAAAAATGGTTCCTTCGTGATGGTGGCGACACAGAGAGAGTCTTAGTGATAATGGAGTCTGCATTATTAGCACCAACAATTCCTGCAGCCAAAATTTCAAGCCTTTTCATATACCCAGTTAAGTCATGTCGTGGAATTTCTGTTTCCCATGCTCCCCTCACTCCCACCGGTAACTAATTCTTTCACTCTTTGTTTCTGGTTGAATCAATATATACACAACTTTACTCATATTATTCATATTTTCTTGTTATGTTGTGTGACAGGAGTTAGATGGGATCGACAATGGGTGGTGGTGAATTCCCAAGGGAGGGCTTGCACCCAAAGAGTTGATCCAAAGCTTGCTTTGGTTGAGGTTGAACTGCCACCAGATGCCCTTGTTGAAGACTACCAAGCTACGAAAGATTCGTACATGGGTAACCTCTTCACAACATATGATGATTTTTCGATGATTTTCTTGCAGTTTATTTATTTCATATTAGATGGATTGGCATGGAAATGGCACCTATGTTTTCATTTTCAGAGAAGAATAAAAAAAAAAGTATTGTATTAATGAGGAATGCTGGAAATTAGAACTAGCTAGAGGATAAGATACTTTAAAGGAAGTGATGTTGTCTCCTTTCATAAAAAAGGAAGTGAGGCTGTCTAGTGAACCTTGTTTTTATAGAAATTCTTTTCATTTTACTTTTCATTAAAGTTAAGGTGGATAAGTTGATTTTGGCTCATGGTGAAGTTCAATGCATTTTTCCTTCATATTTTCTTATTTTAGTAATGCTTACGGAAAAGTTTATCTATACTGATTTTGATGATACATAAACAATAGTTAGACTAGCATGACTGGTCTGTGTGATTCTGATTGAAAAATATATCTCATGGTTCGGGTTTGGGTTCCGGTGAGGATAAGTAGAGGGGACAGAGCTGAACCATTAAAAGACATACTCAATATTTATTTATGTTAATATTAGTTAGTTAGGGTAGTTGGTCAAAGAAATCTTAGGGTTTATGTTTTAATCATAATAGAATTGAAAGCTTCTTCTCAAGGGTGGATGATTGCTCCAATCATTGTAAGAAAGAAGTACTTTGGGCATATACTTGGTCAATCTGGGATATGTCTTTGTTGATCACTTCCCCCCTCATTTGTTGGATCTTCCTAAGATATTGTTATTTGTCACTTCATAATTTCTTATCCTTTATTGTGGTATCTATCTCTTCTTTCTGTATGACTGTTGAATTCTTAGCACCATTTGCTGGATTGCTGTCTCGTGACCATCTGAAACTGTAGCATTTTTCAGCATGCAATTTTTTAATTCAATTTTTATATAAGAATGTTGTACCTGTCGGACAAATCGTAGCATTTTGGAATGGTTATGGGACAGCAATCATACCATGAAATCAACCCTCCTGCACTTTGTTAATGAATTCACTTTTTGTTGATTCCTCATTCTGTGTTCTTTATTATGAAAAGTAAAATTACAGTAGTTAAAGTGACGATGACTTTTGCTTTTCACTTTCTTCATGATCATGATTGTCTTTCATGATATTTTAGTATATAAATATTAATGTTATTACAGTGTTGAAAGCTCCTGGGATGGAACCGCTCAAAATTTGTTTGAGTAAACAACATGAAGTAACTGAAGCTATCACAGTCTGGGAATGGACTGGATCTGCCTGGGATGAAGGAATAGAAGCTTCGCAGTGGTTCTCAGATTTTTTAGGAAAGCCCTGTCAACTGGTCCGCTTCAATACTGGTAGGTCATTGAAACTATGAAAGCTTAAATATGAAGATATTGAGTACAAAATTGTCAAGAAGGGTATGTTACCTAGACGAAGAACTGTTATATGAAACCTGAACTGTTTTATGAATACACTAACATTACTCAAAAGAACTATTAACTTGCATTGCTTTGATTCATTAAGATGCATACATATTTCATTGTGTGGAATTTTTGTTGTCAAGCATAACTCACAGAAAGAAAGAAAAAACCATTATTATAACCTCTTTAAAAATGTTTTTAAATGAAGATTCGGAAGTTAGACAAGTGGATCCTGACTATGTTGGTGGACAACATCGGACCTATTTCTCTGATGGTTATCCATTCTTACTTTTATCTCAGGTAAGTTCAGTATGGAAATGAAGTTTAATTTTACCTATACTCTGATTTTCTACTCAGTATGTGTCATTTATGATTTTCAGGAATCATTAGTTGCACTAAATGAGCTTCTAAAGGAACCCATACCTATTAATCGTTTCAGACCCAAGTATTGATTTTTCAATTTGTTGTTTTAGTCCTGCAATTGTATTGTTTCATAATATTTGTTACTAATTTATACCTGAGTATTGTGTTATCTAAATGGGTTATTAAATCGCATAATTGAGATTTGGCTGCTTCCTGATGCAGTATCCTTGTTGAAGGTTGTGACCCATATTCTGAGGACTTGTGGACTGAGATAAAGATAAGTGAGTTTTTATTTCAGGGTGTCAAGCTGTGCTCCCGTTGTAAGGTGAAGAGTTATAGTTTCTCACCTATCTTATGCTCCAATAAAACATTTACCTGGTGACTTGTGCTAACAATTTTAGTTTCTAACATGTACCATGATAATAAGCATAGATTAACCTGTGTGATGGCCATAGCTTGGATGGTTTTGTGAGCCTTTTCATCATATATGGAAGATAAAACTTGGGTATAATTTTAGGATGAGATACAAGGATGTTACTGCTCTTGCAAAATGGGTTTATGGGTATTTAATGAACTTGTTTCTAGCACCTTTTTCTTACCCTGATTTTTCACGTTTATCATTGGTTGTACACCCAAATCTCTCCATTAGCCTTAGGTTTTCTTACCCTGATTTTTCCAACTTGCATGATTATGGTCAGGTACCCACAATCAATCAAGAGACTGGGATAGCTGGATCTGAGCCAACTGAGACTCTTATGAAAACCAGGTCTGGCAAAGTCATTAGACCAGATGCAAAAAATAAAAACAAGGTGAGAAGAGACACTTAGTCACCAAGCTTTCATTCACCCTTCCTTATGCTTTACTGACATGTTTATTGTTTATTTATGCAGGTGTACTTTGGTCAGAATATGGTATGGAACTGGATGGAATCTTCTGCTAAAGGGAGTGAAAAAATCATTCAAGTTGGAGATCCTGTTTATGTTATTAGAATGGTCTCTTCTGCCGCCCAAGCAGCTGCTTGAACTGTGTATGTAGAATCTGTAGATTCTAATACCAGCAATTACAAACTTTATCAAACATCAGCTACATCTAATATATAGAATATATTATATAAATTTGAAACATTAACAGATACACCAAATGCATCCTCGATTGAAAACCCCACTCTAACAGGATTTGGTTTAAAGAAAATCAGTTTAATTTGTAAAGAGTTGCATAGTAAAGACAACTACAGGGTACTCCCGTTATAATTGTAAATTATAGTTTTACATAGAATCCAAAGAAGTGTTCTTCCAACTCCTCATATTTCATATATATTTTTATTCAAACTCATTTTAAAATATCAAAATTACAACAAAAATCTCTCACTCAATAAACTGCTAAAATTCAATAAAAAATACTATAACTAGTATTTTAACCTATGTATTGTACAAGATAAGTGCCTGAGTTTTATATAAAAAAAAAATCTATAGAAAATGACTTATTAAGAATGTATATTGAGAGAGAGAGAGAGAGAGAGAGAGAGAGAGAGAGAGAGAGAGATTATTTCACATTTATGATAATAGTTTAACATTTGATCCAATTTTATATTTTTTATTACTGATAATTTATTTTGAAAATGATTGAACTCAATTTAAGAGCAGAGACACAAAAAAGTAGATTGAAAGGGATAACAATTTAAAAAAATAAAAATTCAACTAAATATAAAAGAATACTGGTTTGAGAAAAAAAGGTGTAAAATAAGAAGATAATATCAATAAGAACACTGATATATTACTGCCAAATGTATATTCATTTTACAACTTATTATTATTATAAACATGAAAAATTAAGATTTTTTTTATTATTAGTATATTAATAAAAGGAATTATTAGTGACTTTTTTAAGAGTGTTTAATTGAGTAAGTGGAAAGAACATATGGATATATGTACATCTAAGTGATGGAAGAAGAAAAAAAAATTTAAAAATATACACGAGAATTTCTCTAAATTATATATTCTCTAAGTATTGTAAGTTTTTTTTTTTTAAATTTAGTCATTAAGTTTTTTACATTTTTTTCCCGTCAAAACATTATAAAAAGATAGAAGAAACGATATGAAAAAAAAATGACATGACATCATTTGTATTTAATTTTTAAGTTAAGTATGAAGTCATGGTTATAGGGCATAATTTTGATTTCACTCCAAAATTAGTGGAATCAGTGAGAGAAATATCAGTTATATATTATTAGATGAAAGTGTCGATACCTTCTAGATAAAAAAGTATAATTAATTATTTTAGTGATTAGTGTTAAGTTTTGTTTACATTAAAAAAAACACTTTATTTAAATTTATTAAATAAAAATGAAACAAAAAATGATATATCATAATTTTATTTTACTTTAAAACTCAAATTTTATTCCCATTCGTTTACAAAGAATGTTACAGAATACAATTAAATAACGAGGAAAACACAATTCGACGAGGTTAGCACTGTCATCACATTCAAGTGTCGTCGGTGGCGGGGGAAAACAAGTAGGAGGCGCCGACGGCGTCGCAGCCCTGTACGGACAACGTCGAATCGGAAGCGGAACCGTATCAGTTTGATGAAGCTATACAAATCAGGTTCCTCTTTCTGTTAAATGGGTATTCTTTCAAGTGTGCCATTTATGAGTAGTATCCTTGGTATCTTGGGATTCCACACTGCTGAGACGAGTATAGAATCTAAACACATTATTATCATTGAGAAAGTGCTCCATGGTTAAAAATCAGTTCCCTCTTTCTGTTTCATAGTCGAAGACGGAATCAAGTTGTCAGTGCAATTCCGTAACATTAACACGAGCAGAATGATCCATGTCATACCCAAGTGCTCCACAGCAAACCTTATCGAACACTCTCTTCCAACAATTCTCCTTCGCTATTTTTCCCAAACTCTAACATTTCCCTCTCACTCTTCCTCTCCCCATGCCCCTCAACCTCACCCTTCTGCTGAAATCTTCAAATCAGGTACTCAAATGGGTTCTTACAAATTGGGCGATTTGTCTTTCTATTCTCTCATTCGGAACCACGCCTCTTCCCTCGATTTTGTGTCCCTGGAAGAGGTCCTTCATCAAATGAAGCGCGAAAGAAGGAATTTTTTAGAGAAGAATTTCATTGTTATTTTCAAAGCTTATGGGAAGGCTCATTTGCCTGAGAAAGCTGTGGACTTGTTCCACAGAATGGGGGGTGAGTTTCAGTGTAAACAAACTGTGAAATCATTCAATTCGGTTCTCAATGTTGTTATTCAAGAGGGTCTTTTCAATCGTGCATTGGAGTTTTACTCACATGTTGTTGCATCCAAGAATTACATACACCCAAATGCACTTACTTTTAACTTGGTCATTAAGGCCATGTGTAGGCTTGGTTTGGTTGATCAAGCAGTCGAGGTTTTTAGAGAGATTCCATTAAGTAATTGTGCTCCCGATGCTTATACATATTCTACATTGATGCATGGCTTGTGCAAGGAAGGTAGAATCGACGAGGCGGTTTCATTGTTGGATGAAATGCAAGTTGAGGGCACCTTCCCTAACCCAGTTGCGTTTAATGTGTTGATCAGTGCATTGTGTAAGAAGGGTGACTTGGCACGTGTGACCAAGCTTGTTGATAATATGTTTCTCAAGGGTTGTGTCCCAAATGAAGTGACCTATAATGCACTTGTTCATGGCTTGTGCCTCAAGGGAAAGTTGCAGAAGGCAGTGAGTCTGTTGAATAGGATGGTATTGAATAAGTTTGTACCTAATGATGTTACTTTTGGAACCCTTATTAATGGGTTTGTTAAGCAAGGTAGAGCCTCTGATGGGGCTCGAGTTCTGGTGTCCTTGGAAGAGAGAGGCCATTGTGGTAACGAGTATGTCTACTCAGCCCTTATCAGTGGCCTGTGCAAGGAGGGAAAATTCAATCATGCAATGGAGTTGTGGAAGGAAATGGTTGGAAAGGGATGTGAACCAAATACTGTTGTTTATAGTGCTCTTATTGATGGTCTTTGCCGAGAAGGGAAGTTAGATGAAGCAAGGCAGGTCTTATCTGAAATGAAGAGTAAAGGTTACTTGCCCAATTCTTTCACTTACAGTTCCCTAATGAGGGGTTATTTTCAAGCAGGCATTAGCCATAAAGCTATTCTAGTTTGGAAAGAGATGGCAGACAATAATTGTAATCATAATGAGGTTTGTTATAGTATACTCATTAATGGCTTGTGCAAGGATGGGAAGCTTATGGAGTCTTTAATGGTGTGGAAGCAAATGCTGAGTAGAGGAATTAAATTAGATGTTGTGGCTTACAGTTCAATGATTCATGGCTTTTGTAATGCTAACTTAATAGAACAGGGCCTGAAACTTTTCAATCAGATGCTTTGTCAAGAGAAGGAGGTACAGCCAGATGTGATCACATATAACATAATTTTAAATGCTTTTTGCATGCATAATAGTATCTCTCGAGCCATTGATATTCTGAACATTATGCTAGATCAAGGTTGTGATCCTGATTTTATTACATGTGACATTTTCTTGAAAACTTTAAGGAAAAATGTGAACCCACCTCAAGATGGTAGGGAGTTTCTAGACGGGCTTGTAGTAAGATTAGTTAAGCGCCAAAGAACAATAGGTGCTTCCAAAGTTATGGAAGTGATGCTACATAAATTTTTGCTGCCAAAAGCCTCTACTTGGGCAATGATTATTCAGCAGCTCTGCAAACCTAACAATGTTCGAAAAGCCATCAGTGAATGTTGGACCAGGCTAAGTTGCTGATATCATGTAAAATATGTCATTCAATTACATAAACTCTGGATACAGGGAGCATGATCAAGGTTCTCAGGCCTAAGGTCTTGAACTTTCATAAAGCTAGATGCAGTGATACACATCAGATGCCAAATTTTCTGCTATCCTGTTTTTGCTTTGCCTGCTTGGAGATGATGTTGTGAGCCAAACAGGTGACAAGTGAGTATAGTATCCCTTAACCACTTCAGCTGCTTAAACCTTTTGATTTTGACCTTTCAATATTTATATTTTGCAACTTTCAATGGTGATCATTGCCTCAAAAGGTTAAAATGTTCCACTATCCAATAGACTATGATCTATTTGTAACTGCACCAACATAAGTTCGTCTAGAATGACAGAGTTAGTTATTATTTGCAAGTTATGCATAATCCTTACCAATTTATATGGCTAGAAAATGGATAGGATGCTTGAGGCTCTTATAAATACTGGACAGTGGGTGAGAAAGGGAGATGAGGTAAACTATTTGATTTTTCTGTGATAAATATGTTCAATTAATTACCCTTGGAAATAGTTGTGTTGGAAATAACAAATTGTATTTAAAGTGTATTGGAACTTTTGTTAGGAAATGACTCTAATTACTACTGCATGTAAATTTTATCTTAATTGTTCTTTGTATGCATAGGTGTCATTTATCTCCTAGATGTATTTATAATCTATTATATCATTTGATTGTAAGGAATATAACATTGTATCTATTATAATCTTCCAATTCTTTCATGGTACTTGGGGATACCTCCTCAATGTAATTGTCCAAGGCATATGCATGGAACCTTCTAGAGGTTCCTTGAGAACCAAGACACATTTATTGTGGTTTAGAATTTTATTGGACTCTATAACCTTCCATAATGATTTAAAATGTTCTCCAAGTTGTAGTCCTATAACAATTAACTTCACTTACGAAAAGGAAATTAAAAAGAAAAAAAGAACCAAAGAAGAATAGGATGACTAAGCCTTCTAAAGTTTAAAAAATACACCCACATACTCAAACAGACACAAAATTAACAGAGAAAGGAAACATGAAAGGAAATAATCATTATTAGCCCAGGAAGGATCTAGAGAAGAGACATTATTAGCTCAAGAGGGTTCTGCAATCCCTTTGCATATTTGTTCAAGAATCCTCCAAAACAACTTGTCAGCCAAAATGCTCATAAAAAAAGCTAGATGAACAAGTCATCTAAAGAGGATAACTGGTAAACAAAATTTTTCATGTTATGCTATAGATATATGCATCTAAAAACCAGTAAGGAGAGCAAAGGTCCTCAATTTCTTGTATATGACTTAAATATAACTTACAAGACGGTTTGAGATTGAATTAGGTCCAAAGTCCAAATTTTAAGATCTTGCTATAGCAAAATCTCTAAATTGAATAAGGTGGAGGGAAAAGGTTGAAATTGAAGTTGAGAAAGCAAATCCATGTTCCCCTTGAAAGTTAAAACATCTTACATTACAAATTCATATTGGTAGCTACTATATAATCGTGAATGTGTTTTGTACTTATCTTTATTATTATTGTCCAGACATAGGAGTATTAATGTTCATAAGGTTGAAATATTAATTAGTTATTTTATTTGTTATGTTTTACGATTTGTATTATTCACGGAGACATTTCAACCCTGATTATACTGTAAAAAAATTTAACAGATGACAGTTAGTTACATGAGTACGCAGAAGAACATTACATGCAAATATATGGATTTTCATCACCTATGGTAATTTTCTTTCAATTAAATCTTGATGAATGGAATATTCTATATCTTTTTGTTTCTTATTCTGAATATTTGTGGGTTGAGACCCATGAAAATATACATTAAGTAGAGCCCATTGTAGAGCTCACTGTCAGCCACGCTAGAGTGTTGTTGAACCACCATGTCAGTTTTCCTGAACTCTAACATTAAGTGACATCAGCCAAATCTAACTTCTCCTTCATTGTCTTTCTAACTCCTCTCTCTCACCATGGTTATGTTGTCACGCTTTATTCATTCAATACTCTCAACTTCATCTTTCACTCTGACTTTAACCTTAAAAGTGCTACCATCCGTCAAGGGCTATGATATATTTGGTATCAAATGCTGGAAATTTGTTTATGATGCATGAAAAACATTTCTTAGTGATGTTATCGGTGTGTGAAGCTGAAATGCTGAATATTGATATCGTAAACATTTTTATGAAAAAATTTAATCAATTTTCAGTTATTTCTGTGAATTGTTAATTGCCCATATAGCACCTTGCATGGGATAACCTTTATTGAGTTGTTCAATTAATTACCCATATAGCATCAACATATAGATATTTCTGCTTTATTAATTGAATTCTCTGTTTTTAATGACTAATATTACTCGCATTTTGGGATTCAACTATTCAAGATTACTTGCATGTATTAGGGAAATATGATTCAAAATACACAAATACGCTATATTTATGGCCCTTCGTTCTTGACAGTTTCTGTGTGATCAACTTTTGGTTGCAGATTTTCTTGTTGGTGAGCCATATCATAAGTTGCATGGAGGCCAAAGAGAAAGTAATAGATCAACATTAACACGGTGCACACTCCAAATCTTATGAAGGCTTCATGCTCCAAAGACCCCATGAGGAAGACATTTGTTGCAATTGACAAAGATGGCAACCAGGGCACAAGTGGAACGCCCCAAACTCTTGGCGCTCTTTGCTGAGTCAAAAACAATGACATCCCTAGAGTTGTCAAGAACCAAATAGGAACAGTCACAGCGTATCCAAACCAACCATTAGGCCTCAGCCCCCAGTAGGCTGAAATTCCTATTGAGGAAGCAATGATGAGCACCAAGAAGATAACTAGCTTTAATAAGTTCTCTCTTGGTGTGACCCCTCTCACGTAGTACCTCCTCACCAGAAGGGCAACAGATATCATCATGAAGACAAAGAGTGTGCTCACAGATATCAAGCTTGACAACACCTTCAAGCCCGTGAAAAAAGCTATGATGGCACTTGCAATGGTGATCAAGAGTGTGGCATTTATAGGAGTTCCTGTCTTAGGGTGCACAAGAGCAAACCATGGTGGGATCATGTGGCACCGTGCAATGTGAGTGATATAACGTGCCTGTGCCAATCTCCCCACCAGAAGCACTGTAGTCATCCCCTTCAGTGCTCCAAAAGCTACCACATACTTTGCCCACTTCATTCCCGCATGCTGAAATGCAACTGAGAAAGCAGCACCAGTGTCTATGTCCGTGTATTTCTGCATCATGCTCAACGAGAGTGCCATCAAGCAATAAATCACTGTGATCATGGACATTGACCCAACCAAACCTATAGGAATGTCCCTTGATGGCTTCTTGGTTTCTTCAGCCATGGTTGCAATATGGTCAAACCCTCCGTATGCAAAATAAATAATTGCTGCCGCCTGAAACACCCCCTTAGCTCCATAAGGTAAAAAGGGTGACAAATTTGATGTGTCTGCATGAACAAACCCTGCAACAATCACAAATATAATAACAGCAGTGTTAATGGCAGAAGCTATCCAATTGAGAAAAGAAGTTTTTCTTGTGCTGATTATTGTGATCACTGAAGCAATCACCAGAACCCCAGAAGCTATAGGATCCAATAAGTTGTACCCCTCTTTTAGATTTGTTTTAATGAGCAATGAATTCTTTGGACGGTTCAAAAGGTTTGTGAAGTAAGAAGTCCATGATCTGGCCACTGCTGCACTTCCAATAACACTTTCAAGAAGAATGTTGCCAGCTGTTATGAAAGCAACAAAGTCTCCTAATTCAACTCTCAGATAAGCAAATGACCCTCCTGCTGATGGGACTTCTACAGCAAACTCAGTGTAGCAGAAAACAGAAAGCATTGCTGAGAAGCCTGAGGCAACATAGGATAAGACAATAGCTGCTCCAGCATGGTCATGAGCCTCTTGACCAGTGAGCACAAATATTCCTGCTCCAATCACTGCACCAAAACCGAACCATATGAGGTCCCACCAGTTGAGGCAACGTTTCATGTCATGTTCACTGCGTTTCCTGAGTTCTTCTGTCTCAGTGGCATCATCTGATCTGCTGAAGAGACGGTCCTTGAACCTTAGCCATGTTTGTCAAAGGGAAGAAACGTAGTTGTTCAGGCTTTGGAAGGACTCCTCTGGCAAGAAATCTTGTTTGCTCCATCTCCAATAGCCTCTTTGGGGTTCAGCCTCATCCTTGTCTCTTGTGGTGGCCATCCAAAATATTTCTTCTTTTCTTGAGCTCTTCTGAGAATCGAGGACTTTAGTAGATATCTTTGAAGTATAGACTCGAGTCCTTCAACGTCTCAAATTATTGTCACTCGGTGTGGAAATTTCACTGTTCAAATGTCCTTTAGTGTGCATTCAACGGAAGGGCATCATAACATAATATACAAGAGGGTATTACATCAATATTGATTTTAAAAGCCGTATTAAGTGTAATTTTTAACTGATTTGTAATAGACAAATATTATCAAAACCAAAATATTTTATCCAGTAGTATATCTAATGATTGTATCTTGGAATGACGGTAGAACGGTACACAACTTCTCTTGTATGCGGTAATGTATTCAATTTTTATAAAACTCTTCTATTCAAGTTTTCTTTTTTTTTGGAAATTCAAATGCATACATTGACTTTAACTTGTAACAGAATTTAGTTTATTCTATTTTTTCTCTTATAAGGATTTTTGACAGAGGTTTATCAACGTATGGTTGCAATAATTGTGAAAGGTTCAGCATATGGCGAACTTGGCATTTTCAACACTTCATAGCGGTCAAGGCACGCGTACCTTTGGAAAAACAATGGAAGTTTTCACATTCTGCCTGTTAAGGTGAAGATTCCATGAATTGCCACAATTTTCGTCCAAATTAAGGACTAAAAGCGTTGTTTATCTTCAGTTATCAGTGCATTGAACGTAGACTAATTGGTGTGCCAGATGCACAGCCCGAGGTCAATGAGTACTGTAAGTGCTGTCTATGTAAGTGATGCCCATTTGGGCCATATGATTTGAAAATTCTCATCATTCGGTCTTCAATTATTTGTGAGATTGCTAGTCAACACAATCATAGCATAGACAGATTAATCCTTACTTGGTTAGATAGTTGAACACATTTACCCTTTAATGGTAACCTGCAAAATATTAATATTTTGGACAGAGCAAAAAGCAAGAGTTTAAACGACTGCAGTGGTTAAGTGGTGCTATACTATACCCATCTTCAAAACAATCAAGTGCTTATAACTTTCGTGTATTAACATTAGCACGCCTCCAAACAACATTTCGCATTCACTGCAGGAAAAACTTGTTTCAACCAATAAAAGCATATCCAAAACCACAAAATGTCAAGAAATCTTTTTGTGGATCCTATTATTTCTCCCAAAACAGCAAGAACTTTGTTATTTCTCTCTCCAATATTAAGAACTTATTTGAAGTCTTAATCATCACTTAATTCAAACTAAAAATTTAATCCCAAACTTTCATTAAAGAATTCAAATATACAACAATTTATACTAACTTCTGTTGACTTAATAATCAATTTTACTTTTTACTTTAATTTTATGTAATCTCGTAAATTTTATCTTTTTTTTTCAATTTTTATTAAATATCACAAATTTATCTTATCACGAAACTCGTACATAGGTCTAATTTAATTAAAAAATAATAAATCATTATTACTTATCGATTAATTTAATTTAGATATGGTAGAGTATTCTTGCTTCCAAAGTATTTATGGTTATTCAGTGTAAGTCCAAACAAGGAAGCCTTGATAGAAGGAGGAAAGGGGTCTGTAATTGGGAGTGGAGGTGGCCTAGGGATTTATTTGAATGATATAAAGATATGGTGAAGGAATTGGAAGCTAAATTGTCTGTTATGACTTTATCAGAAGAAGTTGAGGATAAGTGGATGTGGAAAATTGATCATACTAGGATTTACTTGTTTATTGCCAATTGTAGCACCTTACACAGTATATCTTAGATGCGCCCTTGGAAAAACAATTGTGCAACCATAAATCATTGAAACAGCATCTGCTATATTAATTCAATTGTTCTATTTATATTGAGTAACGCAACCCTCATTTTGGGGTTCAAGTATTCAAGGATTACTAGGATTTATCATTTCATGAGAATTATGGAACTGGTTTGGGGAAGGGAAGTACAGAATACAAAGAGATGAGAATACACTACATCTAAGGCCCTTCATTCTTGATGGTTTCTCTGTGGTCAACTTTTGATTGCAGCTTTTCTTTTTGGTGAGCCATATCATAAGTTGCATGGAGACCAAAGAGAAAATAGTAGATCAGCATTGCCACTGTGCACACTCCAAATCTTATGAAGGCATCATACTCCAAAGACCCCATAAGGAAGATATTTGTTGCAATTGACAAAGATGGCAACCATGGGACAAGTGGAACACCCCAAACTCTTGGCACCCTTTGCTGAGTCAAAAACAGTGACATACCTAGAGTTGCCAAGAACCAAACTGGAACAGTCACAGTGTATCCGAACCAACCATTAGGCCTCAGCCCCCAGTAGGCTGAAATTCCTATTGAGGAAGCAATAATAAGCACCAAGAAGATAATTAGCTTTACCAGGTTCTCTCTTGGTGTGATCTCTCTCACATAGTATCTCCTCACCAAGAGGGCAGCAGATATCATCATGAACACAAAGAGGGTGCTCACAGATATCAAGCCTGACAACACATCCAACCCTGTGAAAAAGGCTATGATGGCACTTGCAATGGTGATCAAGAGTGTAGCATTTATTGGGGTTCCCGTCTTGGGGTGCACAAGAGCAAACCATGGTGGGATCATGTGGCAACGTGCAATGTGAGTAATATAACGTGCCTGTGACAATCTAGCCACCAGAAGCACTGTGGTCATCCCCTTCAATGCACCCAAAGCTACCAAATATTTTGCCCACTTCATTCCCATACTCTGAAAGGCAATTGAGAAAGCAGCACCGGTGTCTATTTCTGTGTACTTCTGCATCATGCTCAGTGAGAGTGCCATCAAACAGTAAATCACTGTTATCATGGACATTGACCCAACCAAACCTATAGGAATGTCCCTTGATGGCTTCTTGGTTTCTTCAGCCATGGTTGCAATACTGTCAAACCCTCCATATGCAAAATAAATAATTGCTGCAGCCTGAAACACCCCCTTAGCCCCATAAGGTAAAAAGGGTGACAAATTTGATGTGTCTGCATGAACAAACCCTGCAACAATCACAAATATAATGACAGCAGTGTTAATGGCAGAAGCTATCCAATTGAGAAAAGAAGTTTTTCTTGTGCTGATTATTGTGATCACTGAAGCAATCACCAGAACCCCAGAAGCTATAGGATCCAACAAGTTGTACCCCTCTTTGAGATTTGTTTTTATGCGCAGTGAATTCTTTGGACGGTTCAAAAGGTTTGTGAAGTAAGAAGTCCATGATCTGGCCACTGCTGCACTTCCAATAACACTTTCAAGAAGGATGTTGCCAGCTGTTATGAAAGCAACAAAGTCTCCTAATTCAACTCTCAGATAAGCAAATGACCCTCCTGCTGATGGGACTTCTACAGCAAACTCAGTGTAGCAGAAAACAGAAAGCATTGCTGAGAAGCCTGAGGCAACATAGGATAAAACAATTGCTGGTCCAGCATGGTTATGAGCCTCTTGACCAGTGAGCACAAATATTCCTGCTCCAATCACTGCACCAAAACCGAACCATACGAGGTCCCACCAGTTGAGGCAACGTTTCATGTCATGCTCGCTTTCTTTCTTGAGTTCTTCTGTCTCAGTGGCATCATCTGATCTGCTGAAGAGACGGTCCTTGAACCTTAGCCATGTTTGTGAGAGGGCAAAAACGTAGTTGTTCCAGCTTCGGAAGGACTCCTCTGGCAAGAAATCTTGTTTGCTCCATCTCCAATAGCCTCTTTGGTGTTCGGCCTCATCATTGTCTCTTGTGGTAGTAGCCATTCAAAAATATTGCTTATTTTCTGAAACTATTGAGTAGATTTGAGTGGAGGACTGAGTAGGAAATGGAAAACAAGCTTAAGCTGATATTTTAGAAGCATGGAATTTGAGTCCTTCCAAGTGTCTTAAATTCTTTTGTCAGTTGGTCTGGAAATTTCACTTTCATCATTTGCCCTTTAGTGTACATTCAATAGAAGGGCCACATTACATGATATATAAGAAAGAGGGTATTCTACTCTGCCCTTGGAAGATATTATGAGCCTGAACATTACAGATAACATTTGGCCATCAACTTTACATATACCAAAGAGTCAATTCTATCAGAAAGATAAAAAATTGTTGTTCCAAAAATAGCTTGAAAGTGTAATAATTATTTTATCCTTATGAACTGAGAATCCAACAAAGATTTAAATTGCTTTCCAATAATTGAAAAAGACGATGATGTAAGAATTTCCCAGTTAATAGTATAAAAATCCTTCTTCATAGGGTCCAAATTATACTCGTATTTGATACATCAGGTAAAATGGATTGTAGAATAAGTATTTGATATTGGAACAGAACTTACTACGAGTGAAAGCGTCAGCATACTAAAGCTATTCTGGAATTCTCGTCAAGTTGTTATCAAATTAGCAATGAAGGCATTACGTCAAGCTGTCACATTATGCCGACTTGGTGAGATTCCAATATTTATCACAAATTTCAGAAGCATGCTCAGAAGTCAAGACAGTACTGCTGTTATCCATTTGAGCCAATCTGATATGAATTTTTTTTGTTGATTCTTATCATTTAATCTTCTTCGTTCCCTGTTCAGTGTAGCATGTAGCTTACTAGTAGTAAGCTTTCTCAAGTCAACACCATCCAAAGATAACCCTATCCCTGCCAGATATGCACTAACTTCCATTTCCATGTGCGTTATTGGATATTGTGTCATCTCTTAGTTCACATTTGATATATGATAATGTGGTGTTTGCTTTTGAAAATAATGAGATTTTTTTGAGGAAAATCTTGTTTAGATATAGTTCTAATCTATGACCATTTTAGTTATAAGAGCTGTCTAAACTAAAACCAAAAGAGCATGATCATGTGGGAGAAAAAATTTCATAGCCATTTTTAATAGAAAATAAAAAATAAAATTTGTATAGGTTAAAATCAAATTATCATTAATTAAAAACATATTTTAAAGAAGCTAACATAAAATAACTTCTACTTCGTTGTTCAACGCTTTTCAGAGGAAATATCTTCACTGGAAAAAAATATTATTTGTTTAGCACACTCAAGCACATTTTGGTATGTTGAACAAGCCTTGTTTTTTGAAGTTTTTTTAGGTTATGCAAATACAAAAGGTCTTTTGCCTTTTTGGAAGTTGTGAATGAGAAAGTGTTTTGGTTCTAATGAAAGTAGAGAATGAAAATGAGTGAGTTACGCGTATAAATTGAAGAACACTAACCCTAATTATAGCCATGTGAACAGTGATATTGTTGCATGTGATTTGGTAAAAAATAACCCTTAATGTTAATTTATTTTTCTTTTCAATTATTGCTGATTTTTTAACTCTTTGTCGTTTAAATTTTTTAACTCTAGTAATATTTTTTATTCAATAATCAAATTAGTCTTGTTTGTTTAATTATTTATAATATTTTATTCTATTCTATTTTTAATACTTCTTAAAAAAAATCACGAAATTCGTCATAATAAACAAATTAAATCAATTCTAGATGTTAAAAAGTAAAAAACAAATCTTTTACACTGCTGCAAAATTGTCAAAACAAAATAGGAAATGTGACTGCCGAGTGAAGTGAGTCAAGACCTGAAAAAAGTTGGCATCACGATTACCACAATCCAATTCTTGTCACTCACTCACTTCCACGTGCGTCTTAAAGAGAAAACCTTTTAGTTATTATTTCTTCAAAAGAAGGATATATAGAAATTAATGATGTTTTTAGTTCTAAGAGTTTAAATTAGTAGCAGAATTAAATAAACTAAAATTAATTCTTAAATATATCTTTTTTATTTCATAAACATATCTGTATATTATTATTAAAATATAATTATTTTTATATATCATTATTAAAGTATATTTCAATATTTAAAACTGGTTGCATTTATTTGAAATGAACGTAGAGTATCTTTTGATAGATTGATGAATGTAGAATATGAAATACTAAAACTATTTTCAGGGATTCTATAATTTATTAATATTCAGATATTGTGGAAAATCGTATGTCTGTAATCTTAACAGCAACAGAAATAGTAAGTAATATAAATTAGATTTTGAGCTAGGTGCTACCCAACTGCTACAACCCCGGTATGAAAATATCCAAAATTGATAACTCAGCCACTATCCACTATAAGGACATGAAATCCAAGCAAAAGGGAAAAACCAGAGAACTCTATGGAAGAGAATGTAACATGGATTAATTCGTATAGCAAGGTTGCGTCGTTTTAGTTGAGCTACATCTAATTCTTAGCCTCTAGATTCTCAAGCATGGCTCTAGAAATAAATATTCAGCCACATGCATTTGGTAGAATGTCACAAACCGCAGTAAATAAAAATAGCATTTGGGTGGGGGGGGGGGAGAGGGTGATAACATGAGTACTAGCTGAGCAAAGATAGAGCCCTCTAGTAATCTAACTTAGCTGAAGAAAGCCATTCTTGTGCTGCAAATAGATCAGGAAGGACAACTGCCCCAGATTTCCTCCATTCTGCAGCTTCTGGGGTCTTAAATCTGTCCAACAATAGTGCATGCATCCCTATGCTCTTAGCTGGCTCATAGTCTTTGCGCATGCTGTCTCCAATGTGCAAAGTTTCTTCAGGTGCAATGTTTCCAGCCCTCTCAAGTGCAATCTCATAAATTTTTGGGTTTGGTTTCTCAACGCCTTCAAGACCAGAAAACACACCAAAGTCCCACTCAGATCCCTGCATCATGGAACATCATCCAAAACAATCAATCAGACATTCTTGTCTGTCATGACTTAATATTATCATATCATAAGTGTAAAGGAGAACAAAAAGACCTGCAGTGGTTAGTAAGTCTCAGTTCTGAAAAGATGACAATGTCGCCAACAACAAAATCCTTGTCCCGTTAAGTACTATCAGTTACATGGATTGCATGACATTATTAGGCTTAGTTAAAGACAGATACTGAAAGATATTATTCATCATGAGATCCCTTTTAACAAATTCCTCCAATGTCTTCCTTGCTCTCTCTCTCTCTCTCTCTCTTCTTTTCATAAGGCTAAAAATCAGGTGCTTCCGGCAGCCTTTGCACTTATCATGAATCGATGACTGCATTACCTTTCAAAATGGAAGTGTCCATTCTCTACTATCATTTCCAACAAGTGCACTCACAGAAATTTTGAGAATGTGGTCTCTGCCACTTCATGGTTAATTTATCTCTTGATGTCATTTACAAGTCCGCCACAGTAAACTTTTAGAAAAAGAAAAATTACCTCGTTTAATCCCAAAGCTGGAAGAATCACATCTTGATATCGATACTCGGCATTGCTCACAATACCAACTTTGAGATCTTGTTCACGTAGCCATCTAAGAAATGGTTGAGAGTCTGGAAAGACAGTATATGGGGCAGATGAACCAAAGGATGCATATATGCGTCTGAATATTTTCTCAAATATCTCCTCATCATAAACATATCCAGCCTGCCAGAAAATAAACCGTTTCCATGAATTTCCACAGGCAGGATTGCCAATGTTATGAACTGGTAATTCAATGCTCAATTTTGGTAGCTTAAATGCAGCTGAACACATCAATAAAGATTAGAGTTAAACCTTTCTTAGTTTAGTACATTAACTGTTGCAGAACCAATTTAGAACCAAACTAAATATGCTAGCTTTCCTTGTGTGCCCGTGTAAATACCAAAAAATTAGCTAGCATGCATGTAATACACACTAAAACCAAAGTAATAACTTTATGGATGTCTTACCCTGACAAAAGAATCCCGCACACAGGTTTTCCACCACACAATATTTGGCATTTTAGCTGCATACCCAAAACAAGGATAATTCTTTGCCATGTCCTTATATGCAAGCTTAAAGCCCTCATGCACACGTTTGTAGTCTGGGCATGGAAGGCCTGCAGCTTTGGCTGCCATGCAATAATAGTCACCAAGTTCCCCTTTGTAGGCCATTAGGGTACCAGTAACATCTATAGTGACACAGCGTAGCTTAGCCAACAATGACATGGTTTGTTATGGGACTGTACAGAAGAATTTCTGATACAGCAATATCAATTCAGATTTCACGGAACCTAATAGGATGAAGTAGAGAACTCCTGCAAAATTGATAAGCCTGCATATGAGATTCCAAAATTATCTCGTTCAATTTAAACCAAAAATAACTAATGAAAGAGCTCAGATGATGATTAAACTTTGTAATTAGTTTGGTTGTTTATTAAAGAGAGGGCGCAAGAGCAAAGGGAAACATTAGTACTGTAAATGATAGCATAACACAGAATTTTCAAATAACTATTAAACTTGTAATCTACTGTATAAAACCTGGTCTCGATAAATATGAACAAAGTCAGGCATACATACATTGCAACCAGAAAACATAACTTAACATATTCAATAGGCTAAAAGTGAATATAATAAGGCATGCATACCAGCAAAGGTACATTTTCTTAGAAGGGAAAATGCAATTTAAATTACACCGAGCATTTTAAATAAATATGAAGTTGCAAAGTTACACCATGCTATCCTTGAAAGATACTGTGTTTATGAAGTAAATGAAACTATTCCCCATATTTATTTTACATAGACTATAATACAAACACAGAAAATATAAGGACACCACTCAAGCAGAACTCTAACATAATTCAAAGACGAATATACAGAGTCAGGGATATTAAAAAGATATAGAAATGAAATCATTTTGTTTGTGGAAAAATGATTTAGGACATGCAGTTATTTGCTAATGTGGTAAAACAATAACAAAGAACTGGATTTAGTCTTAGAATAGTAAAACACATTACTCCAATGTTCAATTGTCAAGCAATCACACCACAAGTACCAACCTAAACCGGATCTTTAAATCAAAAACTTCAAGCAATGAACTTCTTTAATGGTTGGCCATCTTACTTTGACACACAACTCCCATAATTAAGATAACATTTACACACCTTCTAAAAATCATATTGTCTGCATAAAATCTCTTCTTACAATAAAATCAGTATTTACCCTAAGCACATGAAGAATATCTCACACAGACCAGCACTAGTTCCTCTCTAAACTGTTCAATTACTCAAGATCCATAAGTTGAAGTCAAAATTTTCTCAATACATATACAAGATTGCCGTAGCAGTTACCAGTTACAAAATAAGTTAAATTTGAATCAATCAACCCTCTAACTCATTGCCTGGTTAAAACACACACCAAAAGGATGATCACGTCTGAATCTAAACCTATGGATACAGCAAAATCTAAATTCTTATTTCAAGAGGTTTTTTGTAAAAATAAAATCAAAATCACAAGTGAAAATGAGTCAAAATTGAAGATGGGGTAAACAATGAAACCAAACCAGCCCAGAGGTCAGACAAGGAATAGTCACTAACAACTATTAGATTTCTCAGTTGAGAAAATGTCCAATAAGACATGGGATTCAAAACAAAATGCTAAGAACCAATAACAAAGGCAAGATCAAATCAACAGACACCCACCACTGAAAAAAATAAAATAAAAGATTCCAATAAAACACACATGCACAATCAGATTGTGGTTAGGTCAATACCCACATAACATATCACAAACAAGATTGTATCTTTACAATCATCGCAAGAGTAGATTTAAATTCTGTCTATCAGACACAAACTATATAATTCTTACCAGAAACTCAGAAAACTGAAATGCTCGGAACTTCGTGTCTAAATCACAAATGCTGCAGAAGATAATTAACCTACTCTATTAGGGGAAGCATTGTGCACAATTACAAATGGTCTTATAAATAGAAAAGAATGAAGCTTTCCCCGCTGTTCCTCTTCTCAAACCAGCTGATGGTTATGTTAGAACCAATGTTAATCTTCCAAACCCAGATTTATTATTTAATAGAAAGTCTCTTCATTTTTTTTTTTAATGAATGGCTATTTATTAGGAGAAAAATCAATAAATTATAATATCAAACAATAAAAAATTATTCTTGTATGGAATAAAATATTTAATATAACAATTAATAATTTGTGTACATATAATAATTTAAAATTAAATATTTATTTATGTCTACTTGATTTATATAATTAATATATTATTGACTCAAATTAAACATTTTTTTAATAACATACTCTTTAACACATTTGAATACATTCTTAAATAATTACTAAAATTCATTAACAATATTTATATAAGTCTCTATCAAATAGCCTTATTTATGATTTTTATTTTATAAAACTTAATTAATAACGAAGAGTATATTAAAAGTTATATATTAATGAGAATACACTGTTAATACACTTCTTATGACACTAATATTAAATTCTTATTGTACATAAAATTTATTGTACCTATTTTGTTTCTAGTCCTCGTAGTTGTTATAATTTGCACGACTTACTCTCTTCTTATTACATGTGTAATGAGATTTTATATTTTGAATTAATTTTTATTTTTTTATATATGCACTGTTGTTATTATTTTGAGTAATTTAGTTTAAAATTTTTATTTTACCATGCATTTTATAAAAACAAACAGCATATTAATCCCCTATTATTTCTTATATTTTTTTAAGATACTTTTTATACATAGAACCTAGTGAATTATTTACAGAATTTTCTCCTTACCTATCTTTAATTTATTCACCTTGATTTTTTATTTAAAAAATCATATCAGTATATAAAATTATAAATTTTATTTTAAAAATTATTAATATTCAACAAAATTAACTTTTTATGATATTATTTCATGTGAATCACATGATTATATATATAATATGAATTTAATTTTTCATTTTTAATGTAGTTTTTTTTCTCTCTTTTTAACAGTTTGTTACATTTGTTTTTAATGAAAATTAATGGATTTGCAAATACACCTTCAATAATGTACAGGTTGGTTTGATCGTTCATAAATGTCAATTTACATATAAATTAAATATTCATAACTATCTCTTTTTTTATCTAACATCTAATTATAATATATTATATTTTAAATAAATTATAATATTTGTTCTTCTTTAACTTTCATCATTTTCATTTATCCCATTTAGTCTTCAATTTAAAAGAAAAATATGCAGTTTTAACTAAATTATCAAAATGACTTATACTTTATTTTTTTTAATTAGTTCTAACTGATTAGTCAAAATAATAATAAAAAAAAAAACATACATAAAATTAGAGATCATTTCTATATGAAAAAATTAAACCAAAATGACTTGGGAAAATTATAATCTAAGTTTTGAATAAAGATCATTGAAATATAAGTAATTTTTGCATATGTGCAAATTTAGGTAAAAAAAAATGAAAATTTATGTTTGATGTTATATTTTTTTGTCTGTTATTAAGGTAAGTGTTAACTAAAAGAAATTTCATTTATTTATAACCAGTCAATTACATCTTAAATATTCTAATTTTGTTAACAAAAAGTTATTAACCAAACAATTAGATCAAATATAAATAAAATTTATTTTGAATCATTAAGCATGTGATTTAGGTGAACTTCCTTACCAAATATATGGTTAAAAGGGTAAAAAAAAAAAAAAGTTTATTGAAGATGAATAGTACAAATAGGTAAAAGATGAAGGACTACGTAACAAAAAGTGAAAAGGTAAGGGATGAAGAAAACCGGGGTCGCGATTTTGCTGCGGTATTCAGTGAAAAGGAGTGAATACCGTTTGCTACGACCAAAAAACCATGGTCTATGCTTGGGATTGCAAATCACATTTTTTTTATTAAAATTTTACAGATTTATTATTTTAATTTATTTCTTTGTTATTAATTAAAATATAACATGCTATTGTTAATATATTAATATAACAAAATATTAACCAATAATTTAATATCAAATGTTAATATTAATAATAACTAATATTAATTCATTATTAAACCATTCAATAAATTTTTACCTAATTGTTTTCAATGTATTTTAAGATTTTGGAAGGAACAAGTGGGATTATTCATTAATCATGTTGTTATGAATTAGTATTTAGATGAAAATACAAATCCACCATCAGATTTCACTGTGAAGTATAAAGAAGAAGTAAAAACAAACCAAATGCAGAAGCAACTATATTCTGTGAACCACCAATTTTGAGGGTGATATTTATGAAAGCTTTGAAGATTCATATTCTATATGAAGAACAAAATATAATTTTTACCATGACTAATGTTATATTAAGTAAGGTTTTTAATGGTTAAATTAATTTCAACATACATAATTGCATGAGGCCCAAGTTAATGGTTGGGTCGTTGGTCCAATAATACTTTAACCATGTGTCATTATTTTCATAATGAAAAATAAAGTAAAAAAGACATTATAGTATGAAAATCAGAAAAATAAATGCATCATAGTATCCAAATTTTAATTTATACCTTAATTAAAATCAAATGCTTATTAATACAGTGTGTTAAGTTCAGAGAAAATATATGATTAAAGATAAATGAAATGTAGTCTATGGTTAAAGATAAAAATCAAAATTGTAATAATTATGTGTCTTTGTTCCTTAAACATGTCTGTATTATGTTCTAAATATTAAACATCATGAAAGGATATACAAAGTTTATACGAGTTACCTACCTAATGCGAATCCAAACATGAGAACATTCTTGTTCCCTCCCTTCTTTATTTTGATAGTTACATTTGAACTTTGACCACAAATGTTCATTCATATATTCCTTTATGTTCAATCATCCAACTCCTGATTGGACATGACACGATGATACATTAGCAGAATTTATCTTGTCCCAAGAGAACTATTGGCCAAGAATTTGCATCAAGCTTTAGAACTAGGATCGTACACAATAGGATCAAAGCGGGAGAACAATCATTTTCTAATACTACCCTATGTTTCCGAGTATGGAATCAAACATGTTTTACCTTGCTGTCCCTTCCAATGTCCTCCAACTAAAGAACCCCTCCCATGAATGAATTGAATTCAAGATTGTATTATCCTTTAGCAAAATATATTTGCAACAGAGCAGAAACTGAGAGCAAAGCATTGTGTGGGAATAAATAGTTCATGCATTCACCAACATTTTATATAATCATCTGATATCAATTTCTTTTGGATGATAAGTTTGTTTACTTTTATGATGATAACTACATTCCAAGCCATACAAAGTATGATAAACATTCTAAAAAGACTGAATGACATTTACACTAAGATTATATACCCATTAAAGTCATAAGTAAAATCAGTCATAAGCTTTATCCGAAAGTGGCAAAGAAAATGCACAACAACTTGGAGCCGTTTCCTGATAACAGGATAACTAAAACCAAAAATTCAATTACACAACTATAAGAAGACACAAACAACTAAAGAAAAAAAGAGTTAACTCATGAATTAACTCAATAAATTAACCTATAATTACAAGCTATAATATCTATTTATTGCTTTACACAGTTATCATATGACTTATGATAGATTTTCCAGAAATGACAAGGTTGCTAAACCAGCTGCCCAGACATCATTGTCCAGCACATGCTCTTGTGGAGAGTGACTAATGCCTCCACGACATCGCACAAACAGCATTCCCACCTGTTCAAATCCTCACTCATTGTCAGATTCTGCAGAGTAAATTACATCTCAAAACCCACAAACAGAGAACAAAAAGTTGTCACCTTTGTTAAGTGAGATATTGCCATTGCATCATGCCCTGCTCCACTCATTAATGTTGGCACTTCATCCTGAATGTCACCCTCCATCTTCTTGAGTGCAGAATAAGCTGAAGATTTGAGCTGTGAACTCAGATCAGAATCACAAATCACAGCACCTGCATCATGCTGAAGTGAACACAACAAAGTCAATGAATGTTGTTTGTACAACTCAGAAAACAACTGAGAAAAACAAAAGAAGGCCAAACCTTGTGTTCAATAATGCAGGAAACTGAACGCTTGTCACATATTTGATAAATTTGTTTCGATAAATCATAGATAACAGCTTCACGTCCAAGGTCATCAATTGCTCGTATGTCCACCGTGTATGTAACCTACAACAAGTCAATAATAATACACTGTCATCATGGGCATCAACTGCAAAAATATGGATGCATGCCCACTTTGACATTCCAGGGTCAGCGGCATTTTAGAAATTCATCGCTTGCCTGGCCTGGAATGACATTACTGGCACTTGGCCATGTTGAGATCTCTCCAACAGTACAGACAAGTGAGCTTGACAGTGATTTCACTGTTGAATCACTGCAATGACCATCATAAGAAAGGTATTCTTCAGGATGTTTACAGAGGTTTTCCAAGACTACGATCTGCTCCGCAGCAGCTGCCATAGGATCCTGGCGCATGGACATTGGGACTGTTCCAGCATGACCTTGTGATCCTCTTACTGTAACCTACATGGTTGTTTATGGATGAATTATAAACCAACATATACATAGGTAAGAGTATATATATATATATATATATATATATATATATATATATATATATATATATATATATATATATATATATGTGAGTGTGTGTTTGTGTAGCAATAAATACAAGTAAACTAACAAGACCAGTGTGTAGACATATCTGTTGTTAAAAATGGCCTTTCACAAACATTGATATTGAAAGTTTATTTAGATACACAATTGACAGTAGGTAGTTGGGTTGGATATGACTCCTCTTAAGTGTGTAAGAATTAAGTGCTTAATCTAAGGTGTGTTGATAAGAAAATCAATAGTTGATATTCCAACACATTCATAATTTGTTATGCATGTGCATATAATATTGACAATTGATTTTTTTATCAACAACAAAGACTACTTTATCCTCTAAAGTGAGTTACTTTAGGTGAGCCAGATCCTTCAGTGACAAGTTCACATCATATGTTTCACACACATGAAAAGATTGAAGTGTTGTTTGTTTGGAAGACAATTTGGATAATCAGTTACATCTTGTTGGGTTCAAATAGAAGGAACAACCACAAATGATCCAAGTAACTGAGAGATTTGTTGTATACCTTCAATCGTGTTTGCCCAGCTATGCCTTTAACCACACCAAGTGGGAAACCAACTTGTTCTAGCACAGGACCCTGCTCAATGTGAACCTGCAATATGTAATAAACATCCAAGCAATTTTTTATGAGCTTATTGGTGAAATTAACTAGCAAAATAGTTCTATAGATGAACAATGAAAATGTTTATCGCACCTCAACATAACCCCAAACAGATTTTGGGTCATACTTAAGCTTTAAAAGACTTTCCTCTGTAATGTCTACTGAGTTCTCCTTAAGAAAATCTTTTATCATTACATCCCTGAAAGAGGTACACGAATAAATATATTGATCATACAAAATTTATCATAAATGTAACTAGAAAGTTGCTAGGTGAAACCTCTTATCAGATATCTCCAATGTTGTAGCAGGCAAAATACCAGCTATAGCACCACTGCCCAAGAAAGTAGTTTGAAATCTGACACCCTCTTCATCACTAAATGCAATCACCTGCAGAATTAGAAAGATAAATAGGCATCAATAAAACAGTAGCATAGTTCCAACATTTCCATGTACATTTTCTACGATTTTTTTCTCAGTGCACATCATTATTACAAAAGGAAGCAACAAAGTAATTAGAAGTGTGCACAAATCAGTATTCTTTTTATTGCAAACTTATATCAGTTACTTGACTAACCTCGACGGGCCGCTTTAGCTTTTCCAGCTTTCCATTGACATGCATGGCCTTCAAGGCAGATATTGCAGAGACTATTCCTAGGGATCCATCAAACATCCCAGCATCAACAACAGTGTCCTAATATCCATCATTAAAATGGATCATCACTATTGTCAAGAAAAGTTTCATTTTTATTTAAATAAATCGAGGGAATAAATGCCTCACCATGTGAGAACCAATCAATAAAGCTCCGGCATTTGCATTTACACCATCAACTCGACCATGTACATTTCCCATTTGGTCCACCCAACTGCAAAGAACAAAAGCATCAGTCATGTCTTCGGAAAAACTATTCAGAGTTGAAGAAGTTAGAAGGCTAACGTTCTCAAACCAGCATCTTCCATCCATTTACGAATATGATTAATTGCCCTCATTGATGCTGGACTCAAGAATGTCCTCTCCAAATAACCACTAGCATCACTCACCTGTATATCCAACAACAACATAAGCCTCCAAGAATAAACAATTTATAGTCCACCAGCCACTGGATTACAACAATCAGTGAAGTGTAAGTAATGAAATTAACAATTTAGATAACAGAATGTTGCACATTTCTTTCAATGTTATACTTTAAAACTGAAGAAATTGAAGTTATCTGCATATTCCTGTATAGATCTGAATCGTTGAGGTCAAGAACAGAAAACAATATATGTCATTTTTATTATGCGTAGAAATATAAGTGAAAAATCGTCAAAGTAAATCTGAGTTTAGATAAGCTACCTTCCCAAGCTCGTAAAGCCTCGCCACTGCCTCGTCTCTTAGAATCTGTGGAAACAAATCATCTCTTTTTTCTAAATCTCCTGTCTCAATACCTAATCATTTCAAATAGGTACTTAGCACATTCACGCAATCAATCACATCCATCAACAAGAGCAAACAAATCTACCTTGTGGTTCCCCTTTTTTCACTCCTTTTTCTAAATTAAATTAACCCAGTTACAACAAAAATTCTCATTACAAATTATGAAGAAAAAAAAAAACAGTTGTCAACTTCAAAAAACACAAGATACTTACATCATCCTCTTTCTCTTTTACTAACTATTTTAATTTCAAAATCTGACCCTTTCCATACACAACTTGAACTCAGATGTCCCAGTCAGCAGAGTAATAAATTATTATTAATCATCTTGTCAAGACAAGCATCTCCAGTGAAGTAACAAGCGTCATGGATTGACCCATTAGCAGCACACAACATATAAAAACCACACAAAACACAAATTTTCTGATATCTCTCTATGCACTCCTCGTACAAACGCAGTCTCCATGTGAATCAGGTGTCAACTCATCCACAGGCCAAACACAAGCCCAGAAAGGCACACCCGGCGATAGGGTCAAAGAGAGAATCACAATACAAGGACCCACATGAATATTTTATCAAAAAAAACGACCCCTTTTTGCGTTAGCTGGCTTAGAGAGATCCAAGGTGACGCTATAAACGGGAGAATATCAACCGTCACCACGCTGAGTGTGCCTTTTCTGGGCTCTGTTGCATCGAAATCTGAGAGAGAAGGAGAGAGAGAGAGAGAGAGAGAGAAAGAAAAAAGAGATCTTGTACTAACATCATGGAAACGGAATCTGAATCCTTAAAAGGGTGTCTTATGTCTTTCCACTCCATGCAAAGACTCAACAATAACAACAACAAAACCAACAACCTTCGTTTTTTGTTTTTCTTCTTTTTCTCTTTCTCACAACATAAAAGAGAAGAAAAGAATTACCAGAGAACATGGAAACACAGGAAGGAGCTGAGAGGAGGCAGAAGATGAGGAAGCAAGAGTGCAGAAAAGTGCTGGTGGAAGACATGGCGGTGGGTGGTGGTGGCGTTTCTGGGCGGAGAAAGCAAAAGCAGAAGAAGCTAAGCTAAAACTGAAGAGTTTAGCTTTAGCTTAGCTAGGTACCAATGCTTCCCAATCTCAAGGGACCGAATGAAGCACAGGGAATAATATGAATTTGTGGTTCAAGTGCTGTGGCGGCTCACGAGCCATGTTGCATTGTGGTGGGACCCCCCTCTCCTCTCTCTTCTCCTGCGTGTGTAAGTGTTTGTGTTGGTTTTGCATTACTATGTGTTCACAGCAATTCTTCATACGAAACCACTTTTCATCTTTCATTTTTACTTCAACCTAGTTACCACATTATATAATTTGATTCCATGTTTCTTACTTCAACCTAATTACTTTTCACTTGCGATCTTAACAGGGTGGATTTGAACCCAGTTTAAGTGAAAATACTCTTTGAATTAAATAACCTTGATTGGTGGTTCATACGTTAATTTGATACAAAAAATTAATAAAAAGGTAAACTTTATTCTAAAAACCATTATTTTATTTTAAAAGTTACACGTGTTTTATTATAGTTGCCTTACATCACATCATGTAAGGCACATGAAAAATAGGATTTCATTGTTTGAATAATTTGGGTTCTGTTAAGCTTAGAATTTAAACTCATAAATTGATTCTGTTTATATTCTTGAATTGATTCTTTTGATTTAAATTAATAAAACGATCGACTTAACTTTTTAACAAATTTTATACTTTAGGAAAAGTTTATTAATTCTATAGAATCATTCATATCCTAACGCATTTTCTTCTAACTATAAGTTCCTACGTTCTATATCTAACACATTTCCATTTTTCTTAAAAACACGTTTTCTATTTTAGTATAGATTTATTAAACTTTAGAAAGTAATAAGTATGGAGGAATTTTTTTTAAAATGTAATAAAAGAAACAAAAAAAAGGTTGTATCATAATATAAAAAAGATAAAAATGAGTTTTATTTTGTCAAAATTAAATTAGAATTTAAGATAAAAAATAGAAGTTGTTTCTCACGTTTTATTTATTTAACCTAAAAGTTTTCTTTTAAATTAAATTTGTTGGGTAAAAGGTTTTAATTATTATATCCAAAACTATTTATATTGTCTTAAGAAATATGTATGTTTAAAAACAAAAGTATTGTGTAGTATTAAATAAAAATGGTCATATATTTAATAAGATTGTCGATTTTATATTCAAATACATAAAAAATCATGTTTAAAATACTTTATAATTAAATAAAAAAATGTAAAAATCTCAACTCATTGTGCATAAAATTCACTCTTTAATGATTATTACCAATAAGATTTGTCCACTTCAAAATAAATCAATAATTAAATACTATTTTCCATAATCTTTAGTCTTAGAAAGCATTTTTATAAGGAATTTAATTAATAATTATTTTTACATAAATTTGTTTTTGTTGTGTCTTATTCATAATTGTTATATTAATTAATTATTTTGTGGCACGCGTGCTTATAAAGTTGTAATCAAGTTTAGAAAGACAATAGTGATTAGTATTCTCTCTGTATTATTATCCAGCTGGGACGTTGGAAAAGGATGTTTCTAGTGCTATCTTTCTAACTGTTTAGAAAGTTTTTTCATTAATAAACCCTTCTCGAAATAAAAATTCCAGAGACAGACAATTGTTCAAATAATTATTGAATACAACTGTTTTGTTTTTACATGTCAAAATTCTGTTCTTAATTTTCTATTTAATAATTTCTAAAAAATATGAAATTAAATTTTATTTATATATTACTATAAATAAAATTATATATTTGTAAATATTTATATGTATATATTATATTTTTAACAAAATATTTAGCTTATTAATTAAAATAATAATAATAATAAATATATATTATATTATAAAATATTAAATTTTAAACCACATGTACATACCGCATATATAAAATTAAGATATACATATATATTTATCACCTCAAAAGTAAACAAAATATAAATTTATTTCCTCTTAGTTCCAGACCTACAAAATATAAATTCATCTACTTTTAGTTCCAGACTTACGGTTTATCACATGTAAAATAAACATGCGATCATCACAGTTAAAAACACATACAAAACACACAAGGTAAGTTAGTAATTCAATTTAAGTATGCAAAATTCAAATGTGAGATAAAACAATATAATATAACTTCAAGTTTTCATATATCACGTACCCATACAGACTCACATTCACGTCACACAGACACTAGATGATTTCTAGAAGACTAAGTATTGAAATAGATATCAGATATTTGCATCTATCACGCCACAACTCTCGAAAGTGTATAACACAAGGATGTTCAATTCAATATATAGACTCACGTGTGACTAGGATAAATTTCTAAATAACTTATAGACATAGTTTTTTCTCACACTGTAAGTTAAGTCAATAGAAACATTATTCAACTCTCACCATCTGATACTTTCATCTATGTAATTCCAGTGATCAGTAGAGTCAAGTTATCTCCTCTAGTCCCAAATCAATATCTATACATACAATACTGCACATACCCCTTCGTCATTCTCATATCACAACACAAATTTTTCAAGGCATATAATAATATTAACACACCTCATTTCATGTTCATAGCATGTATTTTAATAGTTTAAAGCACATAACATTTCTTACATTATAACAAAATATATTTTTTTCTAATTTGACCTCGACGTATTATTTTGATCATAACTATTTTTGTAAATATCATTTTTAACTATATTTTATTTTATTGAATTTCTCATTTCTAGGACATCGATTTTCATATATAGAACTTTAAATTTAGAGTTCAAAGCTATTTTTTTATAATTTTAAAAAATTGCTGAGTTAATATGAAAGTGTTGAACAAAATTTTAATAAAATGAAACCTCCAACATTATCCAAAATTCGCTAGACGAATTTGAAAGTGTTTAGCAAATTATAAGGGTTTTAAACATTGTCTTAAATTCGTTGGTCAAATTCAAAATTCTAATCGAGTAGAATTGGTCTTCTCTCCTTTAGGAACACTAATGTACATTTGGATTTATAAAAAGATGAGAGATTGAACCATAGATTTAGAGAAAAGACTGAGCAAAGAAAGTTGTAAAGAAATAGTAATTTTGTGATAATGAAGTTTAAATATTTAAACATTTTTATTTATAATTCTTTTTAATTTAAATAGTAAAACTTTAAGCTTACTCTCATTATATCACTTCTACTATTTAACTCATTTCAAATTATCTCACATTATTTTATTATCACATTGCATCACATTAAATTTCGTATTTATCTCAACAAAATTGTAATATTAGATATCACATTCATTTTTTAACATATATTTCTCACTCTTATATAATAATGTATTTGATATTGGATAGACTTCCAAAATATTATGCATAAATTTCAAACTTAAACACATGAATTTATCACACAATAATAAACATTTGTGCCGATGTCATACAATAATAGACATTTGCTAAAAAAAATTTTGGAGTTATTGGCTTTATGTAGATTGAGTGCCCAACAAAATGCTCAAACTATATCAGCAAAATTAAAATTCTTTACCATAACTATTAAATTAACTAAACCTTTTACTATTCGGTCCGAAATTATTTCTTCACTTAAGAACTCTAATTTAGAAATTATTTTCATTCAACTAAGGTTAAATTTAACATTATTTTATATTATCTAAAACTTACACAAAATCATTTTAACTAAATATTCTTCAAATAATTTCATCTAGTAGATGGTTCAGCACTATCCAACACTCTACCACTCAAAACAATTTTAATTAGAAATGTTAATATAAATAATTTGTGAGTCAACCTAGTTCAATGTGAGTTTGAGTTGGGTTAAGTTTAATTTATTTTATTTCTACCCATAATAAGTTAAAAATGCATTTGACTCACTTAACCTACGGATTAAATTGGTTCGAGTCGGGTTATAGTGGGTTGACCCACAATCTACCATTCTTTTTAAACTTTAAAAATAATTATAATAATTTAGTAATCTTAATTGATGTTATATTATCTCTCCATCTCTACTTCACATTGTTACTACAAATTAAATCCTCACTCAAACTTATCATCAATTGTTTTGCTTCTGTCATGACATCACGTTTCAATCCCGCATTTAGTCGTGTCATAGTGTTTTATCATGTTACCGTGCCACAACGTTTGTTGCGCCACCGCGTTCGCTGCACCACTACATTTATTGCACCACCGTGTACATTGTGCTTCAATTGCACCATGACATTTTTTTAATCGCATCATAGCGTTTGTGGATTGTGTCATTGTATTTTAGTCTTGCAATTCAGTCATTATAGGATCTTGATCATTGATTTTAAGAAGACTAAATAGTATATTATCAATAAATAATAAATGAATATAAAAAGATAAAAGGATGAAATGTGAAATTTGTAAATATATAAGTAAATATATTTAATAATTATTAAATTTTTGGGGTTAAAATCATAAATATTAATATAAGTTACAAAACCTTGAGAATAATCATTAAATTTGGGAAGTCAAAATTATAAATAATATAAGTTAGAAAACTTTGAGGAACAATAATCCCCTCCCCTACCAAAAGCTCGGTCATGTTTATTAGAGATAAGTAAATATGAGTTATTGAATCAATCCATCAACTCGTGTAAAATTTTTGACTCGTCATAAAATGAGTCAAATTGAACTTACTTATTTTAAGTCCAACCTAGGTGTGAGCCGAGTTGATTCACTTTAATATCTCTAATTTTAGTAATTTGTACAAAATTTATACATTTGTAAATACTTTTATATCATTTATAATGATTTCCAAAATATTGAAATTATAATAAGACACCCATACCAATAGAGATATAATTTATTGAAGAAAATTCACACGCAAGCTAAAGGAAAAATGGGTAGAAAAAAAAACTACATAATTCAATATTTTGATAAATTAATATTATTTTAGTCTTTGTTACGTTTTATACGTTTTGATTGAACATTAAAAAAGATTACTAAAATGTTTAAATAAAATAAAAGAAAATGAGGAAAAGAAAGATGAAATAAAGTGAGAAATATTTTTATTATTTAAAAGGATAATCGCATAAAAAGGAAGAAAAGTTTTATTTTGAAAAATAATAAATAATTAAATTAAGTTATAAATATTTATTTAATTATAAAATTAGTTACATAATTATTAATTAATTTTTTTATTATTAAACTAATTTTTTAAAATAATATATTTAAATTAATATCTATAAAATACTTTTATTATAAAATTATTTTTTCTAAAAATATTTAAAAATAAACTAATAAAATAATATCATATTATAAATAAATAATATATTAAAATATTTATTTGATTTTTACAATATTTTGTATTTATATAAATTATTAAAATAATAATTAAATATATCTATATTAAAATTATAAATAAAAAATAATGATGCGAAAATAATTTTATAAAATAACATTTATCTTTTATTTTTTTTTATATAAAAATTAAAATAAGTATATATATATATATATATATATATATATATTATAATAGAAAGTGATATATTTTTTTGTCATTTTCTAATTACGTTAGAGAAAAGAATTATATCTTATCATTTTATATAAATTAAAAATAAAATATTTTATTGTGATTATTGTGACGATGTATAAATAAACGAGGTTTTAGATTTTAAGTACTTCACAAAAAAATATTATAAAAAATAGGTTTATATAAAGAAGACTACATTTTTTATCCCACTATTCTTAGATTTATTTTTAATTTTGTTCAATTATTATTTTTATTGACACTTTAATTCGATGTTTATTTGAAAATAAATAAATGTCATCCTCCATTAATATTGTTATAATAAAATAGTGCAAAAAGATTATCACGTAACATTATTTACTTATTATATCATTAAGATAATGCCATTGCATATGTTACATTTATACTTATATATTATTGTTATTATTAATACGATATGTTATATACAAGTTAGAATTCATTATTATAAAACTCAACAAATTGTTTTTTATTTTTATTTATTCAATATGGGTGTATTAAATATTAAAGAGTTAGTTGAGGAAAATATATTAAATAAAAAGATTAATTTATTAATATTTTATTGTGAAAAGGTACTAGTGGGCCAGAAAAAAGGACATCCAGTGAAGGAAAAAAAAAATGAGTGTAATGTTTTTGTAATTTGTTAGATTAAAAAATGATATAAAATTTAGTGTCAAATAAAAACATAACATTTGTTTATTAGGGTATGAAAGATTCTTGGCATCTTAACGTTTGAAGGCGAAGAAGATGCATGGTGACGCGTCTTCCACCACCAGAATCGCCGTGTTGTCATTTTCTTGAAGATACCAGTGGGTCCCACCCCACAACCTCTTTATTAATCTCCTCTGCGTCCACATATTTCTTTATCTCTCTTCTTATAATTTTAGTCTTAAAAAGTATTTCATATTGGACAATCTCTTTTTGTCTAATAATAATACGACAAATATTTTTATTAGTGAATGTTACTTTTTTTGGTGGTCAAAGATTAGAGTATATTATTGAAAAGTCACACCTTCACCTACTATTACATTCATCCAATGCCTCTGGCCTCTCTAAATGTGTTTCACATCTCTAATTCATTGTTTACAAATTAAAAGGAAAAAGATTATTCAAATGGGAAAGAGATGATGAACCATCTTTTTAAAATAATGATTTGATTTGTTATCATGTTCTTTTTCTCTCTCTCTTTATTTGTTTTCATTGTCTCATTCATTATGCAAGAGAATATCTAAAAGGTCCAAGCAAATGGCCATGGACACACTTAAGACCCTAGTCAAACACAACAGACACTTTAATTCTTCCATTAATAATTTTTAAGATTAGCATATTCAATGAAGACCCTTTTGATTGGTTGATTTTTCCATAATTTTAGATTACATTTCCTTTCTGTCTCTCTGAGGTCATTTGGTAAGTAGTCCAAGCCAACTTGAATGCTTAGTGCATGATCACGGACTTACCCTTTTTTTTATTTATTATTATGTAGCATTGACCCCACAAAAAGCATAAAACAAAAAATAATCATAAATTTCACATGTGTTGTGCAAAATATTATTTTTCTCTATCTTTTTAACACAATGGTCCACTGCATTGCTCTAACCAGTCACCATGGAAACAAAATATCTGCCCACCTAAAACAACAGGACCATAGTAAAAAAAATGTTTTTTTTCTTCTTTCCATTAAATAATAAAAGCTAAATTTAAACAATTTTTCATGTAAGGATTAAAATATAGTTTCTTTCGTATAAAAATAAGAGATAATGTTAAGTGTACGGACTATTTTATAATTAGGTGGTGTTATACAATGAGGTGGAAAAAAAAAAGGTTTCAATTTTAATGAATGATGTGACATAATAAAAACAGAATGTATGATTATATTTATTCTTTATAATTTAACCAACGAATAAAAGTGGAGGTACCCACTTGAGAAAAAAAATAAAAAACAGAAATTGCTTGCTGAGTTGTTGTATGTGTTCCATTTCATTGCCGTGCAAAGTGGACCATATTTGTGAACCCCTTTAACAGTTTATGTATTTAACTTGAGTTTTTTTTTTTTTTTTTAACATAATTTAATATCTTATTTGAGACAATCATATAGAAAATATGAACCTCTGAATCAGGTTGTTTGAGACACTGTATATGAATTATTGCACTTTAGTTCATTACTTTATAAGGTATAAACCTTATGCAGATTTGATTACTGGTGCAGTGACTAATGCTAAAAGTCATTGTTGCTATCTAGACACATATCTTCAGTCAACATCCACCATGCAATTGCCGGGACAAGAAAATAGGGTACAAGTATGTTCTTAATGCAAATGCTTGGAACCAAGCAAACTATGGCATGTTCCATGAATCATATTCTACTCCACTCTACAAGTACATGATCATATTCATCCACAATAAATGCATGATTGTCACAACTAATCACTTAATCTGGTATCATCTTTGTTCTTCAAATATAATGGTCCTGTAGGGAATGCTGAATGGGTCAGCACCACCTAAAGATCCACCTGATGAAAGTCATGCAAGACTCAAGCGGGAAAAAGAGAAACATGACCACTATGCATTAATTTTGGATCTTCTCCATTGTTATATATTATACCATCATGGTCTTTACACAAATCTCAAAACCATTGAAGCAGAAACACTTGTGGAAAAGGTGAACAAAGTTCCTCCCTCAACAACTCCTGCTGCTGAACATGATTTTCCCTTTCAAGAACAGAATATTCATCGTGCTGAAACCGGGTATGAAAGACAAATTTCTGCTTTTGGAGGGAATTGAGTAAGGAAGAACGGAATCATGTATATATATATCATCAAGTTTATAGTGTTGAATTGAATGATTAGAGTAATAAAGATATAGATATTCAAATTATTTAATCAAAATGACAGATTATGAGTCTTGTGGTAAAACTTTCACATTATTAGGCAAATACTAGGAAAAGTCTAAAGATAAGACGCAACATTTGACATGCATAATTTGAGATCTGTTTCAAATCTGGATCCTAAAGATGAGAAGGAATATTTAACTATAAATTTGGCCAAACTAAGAACAACTTAATCAAGGCTACGTGACCATTCAGTGGTAATGTTTGGAATCAGTGAAGAGGCAAGAGATTTTAAGAATTTTTAATATGATGAAAACGTTTAGAGTCGTTCAAATATTGGCATCTGTCACCTTGAAAAAAATATTAGCATCTGTCTGTCACGTAGACGGTGAAAATTAACCAGAAAGAATCTTTAAATGATTTTGTTTTCTTCTTGTGCTTTTTTAATTTTAGTTTTAGGGAGTAAGGAGAATCTTTTCTCGGGAAAGGTGTACTTATACACTATAAAATGAGTGAATAAACTGTTAAATTTATGAATCAATCTCATCCAACAATAACAATATATTAAATTATTCATAATTAACGAAAAAACTTATTTTGAGAAATTTAAGGTATTTTGTTTAGCATTATTATAAAAGGGCAACTTTATCCTTCATGACTTTTTCACCAACCTGAGTTTTGGCCTTGCTTTCTCTATCATGGCTTTGCTTTAATTATGTTTTGGTTGGTTTAATGCTGTTCCTTTATATAAGATCTATCTTTTCCCGTTGAATAATCTCATGATGTGATTACGTGTGTTGTGAAATATGTTTTTAATCCTCAAGATCTTTCTTTTACGTTTGTCATTTGTTACTCTCATATATATATACTATAATTTTTATTTTCAAGCTTAGATATATATGTAGTTAAACCATGTAAGACATAGGATAATAATAATCATATTATTTAATATTTGTTTATTATTATTATTATTTTTTTGTTATCAATGTTATTTATGTACAATAAGGATGTAAGAAAGAAAAAAATATTATTAATAATTATTGAATATTGCTAAGATCATCAGTATCATAAATTATGAGAATCTATTATTTTTGTTGAGAGTAAAATCACGTTATATTTACACACAAGAGCAGAGAAAGGGGGCCAGCAGGGCCACAGCCCCACTCCAAATATATATATATAAAATAGTTAATTTTTAAAAATTAAATAAAAATTATTTGATAAATATAAAAATTTAAATATTTTTATTTTTTCTTCTCTTAATTTTTATTTATATAAAATATTATATTTATTTTTTAACATAATTTTCACTTCTATTTTCATATTTTTAACATGTTTAGTGTACTATATATATGAAATATTATATACAATTTCTTTTATTTATTATAAATTAGTTAATTTTTTATTATTTTATAATACTCTATTTTGATGTTAAATATGAATAAAAAAATTTCAATTTAAATTTTAAAAATATCAAAAAATAAAATTATAGCCTCATGATGTTCAAAAGAAAAAAAATAGATGAAATCAATTTTATTTTCTAAATTTTAAATTTCTTAAGTAATATTAATATGTAATATATTTATTTTTATATAATAATTAATTTTTATATGTTGGCCCCTTTATCTAACATTTTTTTTCCGCCCTTATTTATATATGTCTAATATATTAGAGATTCCATAAGACAATTTTAGAGCTCTAACATATTTATTATGCAGTTGTGAATGATATAAGTTATTTAAACTAAAATTCTTACCATTTTAGTTATTGAAATAATTCATCAATCATTATATCAGTTGTTATAGGTATATATCTCAACTGTGTGTAATATAAAGAGAAAGATGAAATTTATGAATTTGTAGATTCTCACCTCATTCAACCATCCGGTAATAAGAAAACACAGATACAGATGACATTACACGTACTTTTTTATTGAAAAAAAAAATTGTTTTACACCATATGTTTACAAGTAAGTACATTTTTTTGTTTGTAATTTATCTTTTAATTTAAACGTGTTTCAATGTAGTTATGATTAATCATTGATTGCCATATCTATAATTGACAACATAATTATATTATTTTGTTCATTGAAAAAAAAGCCTATATATACCTTATATATATAGCTCTTTTTATATATAATTATAATACAATTATGTTTTTAACTAAGTGTATATGTTACTAATACTTTCATTAAATATTAATAAGTAGTAGTCTAAGTGAAAAACCACAAAAACTCACATGATTATAAAAGGTTTAATTATAAATATCGATTGTTGTTTATGTTTTTTTATTGACAAACTAATTTAATTTTTATGTTTTGAGTCACAGTATATTAAACAAATTAGAAAATATGAACGTGACTATTAGATAATGCAATGCATAACATCAATTATACAAACATAAATAAAAAAAAGTTAGGATAAGAAAAATATAAATATATGTTTAGAGATTATTATTCTCTATAAAATTAGTTATATATTAATTATATTTATAAAACTTTATTTAAATATATTGTAATTTTATTATAAATATATCTCTTATGATACACGTACCCTAAGATATATTAGATACACATAAATAATATACTTCTTGATTGACACATAATAATTAATTTTTTAATAAAATAATATTATGTATATGATTTTTTAATAAGATATTAAGATAATTAACTAATTATTACTATGTAATTAAAATTGAATATTATAGATATTTATGATGATTTGATAAAATTTTAGCTAAGATGTTATGTATATTATATATAAATTACTTTACTTGCCATAAATATGTTAAATATCAGTTTTTGTAGTAACAGTTGTTATAGATAATTTAGGATGATGATTAGTTCTTATTATTCAGAGGTAACAACGAGATTATTAATAACAAATCTAAAATTAGCATTGTAGACATTTAACACCTTTTATGATCTTATAAGTTTTATTTTTTTTACTTTACATTCAATTCCAATATTTTTGTATTTTAGTTATTGTTATTTTGCTTTAATCTTTGAAAACAAAATTTGTACCTATAATAGAAAAATTATTAACATTTAAATCTTATTATATATTTTTTAAAGGTATCAATTTGAAGTAAATAATATAAACGTATTTAACATTTACCAAAATATGTTTGGTCGCTATTCCGTTTTCTTATACATTTGGCGTCAAAGTTATAATAAATTTCAAATAAGTTAACAAATGTCAATAAATACTTTTTACTAACAAGACAACACCTTCGTATAAATTATTTATTTATTTTTGTTCAGTCAAAAAGCACGCCGGCAGAGACAAACCAAAGAAAATTACGCCCACCATAACTTTGGTGTTCGTGTTGTGATAAAACTTTTTATTCTTTTTTCTTTTGATAAAACTTTCTTTCTCTTTGACCATAAATTTTACCTTTTCTTTTTGAAATCTAAAACGCAGAAGGGAAAAAATGGTGTGGGTATTTGTTAGTGGGAAATCGAGAAAAGCGATCCAAAATGAAGGAAAGAAATGTGATTCGATAAGATAAACAAAAATTCGTTCGATGTCTAAATATAAGTATGTAGCATATAGCATCGAGAAGCACAATCAAGAATCAAGTGAATGATAATCAAAGACCTGTTATCGAATAAAAACTAAGTCATATGAGACCAGGGTTAAAAAGAAATCGTAAGCAATTTGAAGTTCTCGAAAAATACAGAATCGAGAGCAAAGAAAGCCAATATGGACATCGAGACTTTGGCCAAATCGTGAAAGGAAGTAAGTCAAATCCACGTATAGAGAGCGGTTTCGAAATCATGGAAAAAAGTCGGAGATCGTGAGAATGTGGGAAACTATAGAAGATAAACTGTCATACACACGTAGAACGTGGTAGCAGTCGTGTTAACTGCTCTTGGAAGGTTTGAACGATGCCCTATAAATAGAGCAAAGGAGGAAGGAACAAAGGAGCAGAAATTGGCAGAGAACAGAATCAGTAGTGAGAAGTCTACCGGAGAAACGATGAACACCATGAAGCTTCTGGCAATCTGGATTTCCTTGCTCACTGAGTACATTTACCGCTTTCTGTATTTTCCTTAGTAATTTACTTTGATGCAACTTGAATTCAGCAGTTTTATGTTTCTGTATTTCCTATTCCTTGTCATTTCAATTCAATGAAAGTTTAAATTTCTGCATTTAAGTTTCCCTGTCATTTACTTTCCTTGCAAATCTCGATTTCTTGTCATTTATATTTGCACTGTTTTCGATTTCTTGTCATTTATATTTGCACTATTTTCGATTCCTTGTCATTTACAATTAATGCAAATTTGGGGTTTTCGCACTTTACATTTCCTCGCAATTTAATTTTCTTGTCATTTAATTTCTCGATTCGATACTTTTACTGCTTTCGGTATTTTAAATATAAAATATAAAAATAGCATTCTTATATTCTGTGACTTTCGATTCTCATACACGTTTTCGATTGAAAGTCAAATTGCTAGCCTAAGTAAAAAGAACTTACGTGGGAGGATTTTGATTAGGACCCAAAATACCTTTAGGAGTCGAAATCGATCGAAATTCCACCAGAAACAAATTGGCGCGCCAGGTAGGGGGTTGTGTTGAAAAACATAAAATTGGTTAGTTCGAAAAGTGTATGAGATTAAGGAGTGGGAGAGTTATAAGAATGAGCCAGAGTTCATCAAATAACCAGAGTAACAATGAGGGTCTAAGTTGTGTGCCTCCGCCAAATACTGGGGGGCAAAGTCATAATGGGAATACACCTATAGTATCGACAACTGTAAATATGTCGATACCCGTGAGTAATGAACAAAATTCAGGCACTTTAGCAAATACCCAAGTAGGATCTAGTACGGCGACACTAAACAGTATGCAAACTATGGGAAACCCTATAACAACAAATGCTGGGCCGTATATGAGTGTAAGACCACCTGGGTTTTCGCTTAACATGAATGGGGTTGGTACTTCTTCGATGCAAC